TTGTGCCTGAACCAACAAGTCCTGCCGGACCAGCTTGACTCTGGACAGAGCCAGCACAGACGTCTGTATCCATGGCACAGTTAATCCACAACTCAGATAATCCAGCCATAGATAATGAGGAAAGAAAAACAAACAACTCTCACTTCAGTTCGAAAGTCTGACTTATTTCAGGGGAGTTATATCAGCACATTGTTCCCTTTTGTATGCATCTAAGGTGAATGGCTTTAGAGAAATAAGTGAGCCATTTGGGGGCTAACAATGATTTGCAGAGAGAAAACAGCTGGTGTGCTTTTCCGTGGTGAATTCTGTACACCAAAGAAAAGCTCAGAGAGTGAAAGGGTCACACTTTTTTTTGTTCAACTGCTTACTGTTAATTAGATCTTGTCCAGCCTGAAAGGCTGCAAAAAAGTTGAGACAGACACGGTGTAATTAAGACTTGATGAAATCAAGTTGCTGAGACTAAAAGTTCAATTTTCCAAATCAGATCACAACTTTAACCTCTGGTAGTGCCAATACATTTAGCACCTCAGAAGAACAAGCCAGACAAATTCAGATATTTTTCACAATTTCTTTGCAGTTCACCTCTAATCCTTCTACAGAAGGAACAGTGTGATGAAACCGCAGTAGCCTATTCCAACAAAAGCTGACTTCCTGGGAAGTCACACTGCCACTATTCAAGGAATGCAATAGTTGCAGTGAGTACAGTACAGCTCCCATGGTTCACTGAAGACCATGTTGATGAGACACTAAACTGGAGGCACCAAAGTGGCCCTACGCAGTGGTGCTATCTGTATGCTCACCTTGAAGGGCCACTCAGCAAGTCAACACACACACTGGGTGAATCCTGTTCTGACTAGTAACGCATTCCTGAACACGCTAGGAACATGCACCAAATCTCCAAGAGATAACCGGGCTGAGGGATATGAGAAAAGGTAAACAGAACTGTCTCCACTTAAAGAAACAACAACCGTGAGAAGAAGCTGAAGGGGAAATTCATTCTCTTTCCACCACCAGCTGCTCCACCCGGGCAGAGGGTGAGATTTCACTCCCCAAGGATGAATCCTTCGTGGTGCACCTTTCACCAGGAAGCCACACAGCAGATGGACTACTTGTCCCTTAAGTTTTATCATAGGCACAATTCAAAGTCTGCTTTCTGAAGGTGTGATCACCAGCTTTATGCCAGCACTGTAATGTGAGCTTCAAGGTCCAGGAGGAAAAGGAGCAATTTGCTTGGACTATATCTTAACAGAACGTCTGGTTTCTATTAAAGGTAGGATGGAAGTAACGGATCACGGCCCCTCCCCAGTGTCTGATTTAATCAGTTTCATAAGCGGAACTCAGTCACCCTAATGTCTCCCAGAGCACAAGGGATTTTGGCAGATCCACACCCTTTCCGGCTTGGTACCAAAGGAACTCAAACTCTCTAGATCTTTCCCGTGCGAGCAGCTGCCTGACATTTCCCCACTACACGGTTTCGGATGGTTGTAGCACACCTGGGAGAGGCAGCGGGAGGACGAGGATGAGCTCTGAGCCCGGCTGGGCTCCGCTTACCCCCGAGAGCTCCCCACTCCGTACCCGCGCAAAGTTCTGCTCTCGCCCAAGAGCAAGCCGGAGAGGCTGCGGCAGGACAGGGAGGAGGTGTCTGTGAAACCCGAGCGCGCTCCGCTCCCCGCCGCTCCGGGCACGGCAGCGCCGGGCGCCCTTCCCGGCCGGGGCAGCGCCGGGACAGCCCCCGCCGGCCCTGCCCGCGGGCCTCGGGGCAGCGCAGCCGAGGGGGCCGCGGGCGGAGAGCCGAGATGGCCAGCGCGGTGCGCGGGCAGCGACACGTCCCCGGGCGCCGGCGGGCGCGGCCCGAGCCCCGCGGCGCGGAGGGGGCGCAGCGTGGCCGGGCGGGCCGCGGCCGCCGCCGCCCGGGGCGCGGAGGGGCGGCGGTGCGACCCCCCCCACCCGGCGCGGGGGAGCCCGCGCGGCTCGGGACTCACCCAGGTCGTCCATGGTGCCGCCGTGCCCGGTGCCGCCGTGCCCGGTGCCGGTGCCGCTCCCGCCGGTGCCGCCGCCGCCCCAGCGCCCGCAACTTTCCCGGCCCGCCCCCGCGCGCGCGCCCGCCCCGCGCGCCCCCGCCGCGCCCGCCCCGCGCTGCGCCCCCTGCCGGCCGCTGCGGGAGCCGCGGGGCGGGGGCGGCTCGGCCGGCCGGGAACGGCCGCGCTCCCCTTCCCGGGATGGGGGGGGAAGCGCCCTGGGAAATGCTGGGAAATGCAGCGCCCAGAGCCGCCGCCCGCCTGCGGGGCTCCGTCCCCGCGGTGATGCCCGCCCTGCCGTCCCGCTCGCCTGCGGGCCCACGCACGGCCGAGGCTGGCGGTGCCTCGGCAGGAACGCGACCCGAACCCTGCGCTCTCCGCTGGAGGAGCAGGACCCTCCCCAGGCTGGGTGGGTGCCAGGCCCGGAGGAGCCCAGCACATGGCAGCGCTGTACCCCAAAACCTTCAAACAAATCAACGTTTCTGAGCCCCTGATTTACCCCATCCAAGGGAAGCTGGGCAAGGGAAACCTTTCCTGAACGATTTTCCACAAGCTGTGGCCACCATAAAGGAAAGTCACCGACCACTTCTCCTTCGCTGTGTTCAAAGAACGTAACACTCCTCCTGGATTTATCATATGATAGTGTATCTTGAATCATTTCCCACTTGCTTTTCCTTTCAAACCTCTATCAAACCACACTCCAAGGCAGCAAAGTCCTTGCCTTGGCCGAGCCACAGCACAGCTCCACCCTCATCAGAGCTAGCGTTTACCATTGCACTCTGGCCAAGTCGACATGGCAGTAAAAGCAGTTGCTCAGCCCAAATGTTCAGCTCCTAATCTGATGAGAGATACACCAAAAACTATCAGTGTGGGAACTGCTAAGGATCCAGGAAACACGACTCTCGTAGCACTTTTCCTTACAAAATTACTACCAAGTCAGAGAATGTTCCCAGAGCTGAACAGCACATGTCCTGTTGTTGAGCCGAGATTACGGGATTTTGTTTCCATAAAAACAGAGACCGTGAGGTCAGCTGCGAGCAATCTCCAGTGCTGTATTTTTCACTCTCTAGGCACAAACACACCCAGTTTCCCCTGCTAGCACAAGTCAGACATCATTATTTCCTGTGTTAAGTCATGCTATAATGAGAACTATCACTAGGGGGGCAGGGAAATATCCCCTCCCTCATCCCAGCCAATGCTTACAATTAGTCAACAGCCTCCAAGAAATTCATGCCAGGTTTTACTCCAAATCCACTACTTGTCAGAAAATGACGTCCTTACCTAGATCTAAATACAACACAAATATAAGCAAAGGCTTTCATCGTGTGCTTCACCACTGATGCCAAGGATCTCACCTGACACTCCCATTGCTGGTCTCCAGTAGCAAAATTTAAAGCATTATTTGAAGGGACTGTTACATTTTTTCAAAACCCATCACTGACTGTGCAATGATGACTTCAGGATGTGTCACCCCAGGAGCAGCAACATAAACCACTACCACTGACTGATGGCAAAGCAGACCTAAGGTCATCAGAAACGTGTCCTTTCCTGGGATCTGTGTGTTTCCTCCAGCAACACGACAGGCTTGGATTGTATTTTTACCTCTGCATAAATAAAGTGCCCACTGTTCATACTGTAGCCTAGTATGCAATTTTTATCTTCACCTTCCTACCGTGTCCTTTGGGAGTCTAGAAGTGAGCGCAAATCAAGAATGCAATTTCTGTTGTGTCTCAGGGCTGAAATTGAGCTGTCATAGCACTAGTTATGGTTGTACCTGAAAGAAATGGGTTGTGTCCAAGCTGCTCAGTGTTAAAAACAAAAAAATAAAAAAGTCATTGCATTTAAAGCTCTGCCTGTGGCTTCAGCACTGCTTTGAAAGGGTTGGGGGAGGTGGGAAGGCAGGGCTGCCACATGAGTGATACTATCCTCTAGTAATATTGCTTTCAAAATCAACCTTGTTCTCATGCAATGCCCATAGCCATGTGCTGTTCATAACTGAATTCTTCACACACTAACATTTCTTTCTAAAACTGCCAGTCCCCAACCCTCCAGTGATTGCCTGAGGAGGAGGCCAGGTTAAAACCCAAGGTGCCAAGACAACTGCTCAGTTGCAGGCTCAAGCTAAACTCACTGAAGCAATGTTCACCCTCTCCTAACTTTCCTAACACCCTGGAACTACTGTGCTTTCATCACCTACCTGCTCTCTGCCTCAAACTCTCCCTGGCTCTGTGAATACCTGCTCAAGCACCATCCTTACACAGCCGGGCAGAAGCAGCTGCAGTTCCCAGGTGATTTCCACCTCCAGCAAACTCTTTCCCACTGGAGCAGCATACCCAAGGTGTGCCCAGAGGGGTAAGCGATGCTGAGAGCAGCTACATCCCTCCGAACTGGTGTTGGATGGGAAGTACTAGGGAATGAAGGCAGGCAGTGCATCAGAGAAATACACAGGGTTTCCTCTTACGCTGTCCCCTGTGGCTAAGACACATTGTGATTTACCCTTATCTTTCACAGAAGGTGTTACAAGAAGTTATGACCCCCATTTACAGATGGGAAACAGGGCTGGGAGCTGGAAATGAAGTCAGAAAGTGAGTCAACATCAACAAAATGTTGGACTTCAGGGCATCCTGTATCCACACAACCCGTGTTCAGGGTACTCGTGGCTCCACACAATCTGTGTTCAGAGTACTTGCTCAAGGCATCTTTCCCTCTTGTCAAAGAAGCGTTTACCAGTTACAGACCAGCTCCCTAGAAGGGTGGTTTAACCCCCACACACTTGACACTCAGGCTGGATGGATGAACTGTCCACCTGTCCCCTTCAGGGCTGTAATCTCAGACTGGCTGCCAAACCAAGCGATCCAAGGAGCGATCCAAGCTCATGTCACAGTACCATAGTGCCACTGATGAAAAGCACCATTATTCACAGAAGACAGTGTATGTCAGAGAAGTGATATGAAGCTCCACTCACTTGTAAGGCACACTTACCTGTGCACATTCCAGAGAGGGACTTGAAACTGCAGAGTGATGACAATGCAGTATGTCCTCTGTGCTGTGCCACATGTGCTGTGCAGCTCTTTCTTCAGGTGAATGCAAGAAAGAAAAATTCAGTCAGACCGTTGGGTTTCAGGCAATGGCAGTAAATCACAACATGCAGCTTCCCCATTCAAGGTCCAACTTCACAGTTGTTGAAAGGATCTATTGCAGCAAAACAAATGTTTAAGATGTAGGACACAACTTTGCAACACGGAGTGAAATCACCACACCAGAGCATTATCACAGACAATTCCAGCAGAAGAGATGAGAAACAGTAAAGTGATAAAACCAATACTTATCAACACAGTTTATATGAATCAAGAAATTACACAAAGTGTATGACTCACTGCAAACTACATATGCCTTTGATATTTGCCAGTGTGGCTTATTCTGCCAAAGGGTAATGGCATCCCTATGCTTCAGGTTTTGATTTCAAATTGATGTTGCTGGCAGTGGAGTACAAACGGGAGGAGGGGGCAAATGCAATTTGTGAGGTTTCATCATCTTTGGTCACTCTTTGGTCACTCTTCTGTATAATACCCCAGCATAACTGAATGTTACAAAAAAAACTATTGAAGAGGGAACACTAATGTTCACTACTAAGTTTTCTACTCTGCCTGGCTATAGTTTAAAGCAGCTGCCCAGCTCAGGGTCTTACCGGCAGGGCAGGAGCATCCAGATGGCACACGCGACCGTGCAGAGAACGTCAGAGGCAACCTGTCAGCAGCACAAGCTACATCTGATTCATACAGAGTGATGGACAGCAGCTGCTTCCAGCTCCAGTGGAGACTCAGCCCAGGGAGCTGGTGTGCAATGGTTGTTAAATCTCCCTCTGCAGGGTCTGCTTCGCTATTAAAGAAGACAACAGCTGCAAATTAGAAATGGATTCGGTTTACTTATATAATAGGATTTTACACTAAACTCAGTAGCTGCTTTTTCCAGAGTAAAGGTTTGTGATTTCTTTGACAATAAGGAGCCTTTTTCTTTTTTCTTTTTCTTTAAAGCGAGTGATGCCAATGGATATACATAAAGAAATGCACACAAAATGGAGGTTACAGTACTTTACAGTGAAAGCTGTTCCCTAATAGGTTTTGAAGCACTTCTGGAGCCAGTCAAGCACAATTCAGACTTTCACGCCCCTCCAGTTGCTCCAGAAATGCTCCCTCTCCTCCCTGCCTAAGCTGTCTTTTGAGAGGCCGAGCTCCCCAAAGGATCCTCAACAAGAGCTACACAAGAAATGCTTCTCCAGTACCTCAGTCCCTCCACTTCCATTTTCCGTGACTGATTCTTCCTTCAGCAGCTTTGAAAGAAAGAGGCAAGATCACAGATTTTTATGTAAAAGCGCCCTCAATATATTAACCCACGTTTTTGGCACGAGCAACCGCTGGCATCGCTGAGAGCGAACAAAGACAAATTTATCACTTGTAGTGATCATCTGTAAGCCTCCTTAAATGCAAGTCGCATAAATCAGCTCATCCTGCATAGTAAGATTTCTTTATCATTATTTTCATCTATTTTTCACACCATAATTCAGTCTCCGTAGAGACTGTCAAAAATTGCCAATGCCGACTATATTTCAAGTCGTCATGGCGGGGTATTGGGAAAAGTTTTCAATTAGCAATAATCGCGCCTCGGATTAACCTCATTGGCTACGATACTGCCACTGCGCAAAGCTGACCTGCCTCTCCCGCCGCCGCCGCCCCTGGCCCCGGGGCCGCCGCCGAGCTCGGGGCGAACCCCGCACCCCGCCCGCTCCGCCCCGCATCCCCCCGGGCAGTGCCCCCCGCCCGCCCCGCGCCCCCCGCGCCCCGCCGGGACCGGAGCGCCCCGTTTTTTCCCGTCGGTGCCGAGCCCCGGGACGGCCGCGAAGGCTTGTGGGAGAGGAGTATGCAAAGTAGGAGCGGCGTCAGAGCGGCAGCTCGGTGCTGAATGAAGGGTCCGCACCGCCCCCGCGGTTCCCCCGCCTGGGCACCCCCGGGGCCGGGCATCCCCAGCCAGCCCCGAGGGGCCACAGCCGGCGGGGAGCCCCATCCCAGCCCCTTCCCCACCACCTGCTCCCGCCGTAAACGTCCTTTAATAAACTGAGGGCACTTTTAGTTAAAGAGTTCGATTCTTGCCTTTTTCTTTCAATGCTGCTGGAGAAGGAATGGGTCACTGAAAACGAAAGTGGAGGGGGTCGAGGTCGTCAAGACAGGTTGCTCGTTTGAGGACCACATCACTTTAATGACAGCCTGGCAAGATATACCGTTCGCTTATTTCTTTTTTTAACGTATCTTTCTTTTAACCTCAAATATCAGCCTCTAAGGAGGCTCTCAAAAATTGCCGATGCCGACTATATTTCAAGTCGTCATGGCGGGGTATTGGGAAAAGTTTTCAACTAGCAATAATCGCGCCTCGGATTAACCTCACGGGCTACGATACTGCCACTGCGCAAAGCTACCTGTCATCCACCCCTTCCCGGCCCCACGGCCACCGCTCCTCCGGGGAGGTCAGAGCGGCCCCCGGTGCCCCCCGTGCCCCGCCGGCCCGCAGCCCCCGCCCGCAGCCCGCGCTCCGCCGGGGCGGCGGGGATGGACCGGGGGGCGCTGGGGGGGTGCACCGGGGGGCGGCGGGGCGGCCGGGACACGCGGAGGGTGCCGGGAGGGCGCTATGGTAATGAGCGCCAGGGAAAGGGCTGCTCTGAGCCGGGGGCATCGCCCAAAAATCGCCGTGTCCCATCCCGGGTGAGAGCGGGGGGGTCCCCTCGGTGAAAAGGGGTCTGCCGGGTGCCACCTGCCCTTTGCACCAAAGCAAAGCACCCACCCAAGGGTTTAAAAACACGTTTAAACTATTAAGATAAAAGGCACTAAAAGTGGTTTAGACTCACGGATCTGCCAAAAAGAGGGTCGCGCCCCACACCTCCGCAGGACCCAGGGGCGGAGGGACGGGCAGGGTGGCACCGCACAGCAAGTGAGCAGGATGTGCTTCTTCCCTGTGATCACAAAATTACACCCCCGCTGCTGGGCACAGGCTCGGCTCACCTAGGCTTGAAAATAACTGCAAGGGACAAGAAAAACGGATTAGGAAATCGTGCAATGTTTTGAACTGATTAGCAAGAGCTCTTTGGCAAATGCATTCAAAAAGCAGTCCAAATTATTAGAAAGAGCCCACTGCCTGTAAGACAAGGGAACATCTATTGTCAAGCTGCTATCATGCAGCAGATTGGCCTTCCTCCTATGAATTTGTTCCTCAGAAAAATAAGGCCCCTTTGAAACAAAAAAACCCAAACACAAAAACCTCCTTATTGCCAGCAATTGGTACAGTTTATCAGGTGATTATCAAGACTGAAACTAAGCAGAAAGGCACTGGGGGTTTCTGCCAGACCACTCAGAGCCAGGAGCAGGCAGGTTGGCACAGCCCTGACTCCCGAGCTAGAGGAGATGTCTTTAACAGCCCTCAGTTTATTTTTCTTCTGTTACTTGTTGAATCACATTATCAGCCTAAAATCTGTTCACTGAAAAGAAAATACATCTTTTATAAGGACAAGCATTTACAACGCATTTTATCAAAGCTGTGACATGCGTTTGTATCAAATCAAGTCGGATTTTAATCTTGCACGTTTCCATGAGGGCTGCCATGGAGTTCCCAGCGTTTTCAGATTGACTCAGGTGTCAGGATGTTAGGGATACCCTTTTTCTCCCCCCCTCCCCTGCCTTTCTTTGAAGCATGGGAATTGTAGTCTTTGTGCTTAGGGCTTAATTTCCCCGCGAACTACATTTCCCAGAAAGCTCCTCTTCCGGCAGTCAGCCCTTTCCTTCCGCGGTCGGGCACGGCAGCAATGAAAGGTGAGTTTCCAGGCATTATTCACTGTATCCCTCTTATTTCATTAGCCGGGTTTAGTTCGGCTGTTACCCCGCACCTCCCCGTTATCACAACACAAGAGACCGGGATGACACGGGAGTCCCTCTGGATTTCTGGCCTGTAACCGTTTGTAGAATCCTGTTTATCTTCTACCTTAACCTTGCCTGATCTTTTTCTGTGGAGCATCTTGGCTGTGCTTTAAAAAAACCCTCAAGCCTCAGCTTTCCATAGGTACGTTTAAAGAGTTTCACTTATTATGTACAGTAGTTATTTTTTTAATCTGAGAACGCTGATTTTTAAAGCAGCTTTGCATTTGACAGGAAATATTCTGTCCTTTGTAACTTTCTCTCCTCCACAGTCCTTCTCTGGTTCATAGCAGCTCTCAAATGTATCTGCTTCTTTTGCCTTCTCTCTCCTGTGGGCCAACCCCTATTACATTTCTATTTCATTTCCTCTCTGAACATTTCCTTCTGAGAGATATTTTAATGATAACAGGCAGGAATGAAGAGTTTTCATCAGTTAAAGCAATTTAATTACCATCAAACTGGCTTAACAGCCTTCGGGGAGCATCATGACAGAAGTTATTCTCGGAGCAAATTAGTTTATTGGGAGACTTTGTCCCTTCTAATTAATTCATATGGGAAATTAAACCTCTTCGGAGGGAATGCCCAACACAGCTCCTGATAAACAGCAAAACAAGGCAAAAATCATTGCAAACAGAATCCACTGCTTAGATTTAAAAAGCAATACAGACTAGGGAGGCAGTCTAATCTTCCCTGTAATTCAACTGATGATTATGCAAAGCCTTGAGAACTGGAGATTAACTGAGACAAGTCTATTCTTTGCCACTAGCTTCTATTAAATATCATGATACTTACAGCTGAACATCCAAGCTTTAAATGTATTTAAATATTGCTCCATTTACTGTAAGAGCTGGTACTTGAGGGGAGTTGGAGGCTTGAGGCAAGGCCACTTAGATGTACCAGGTAATCTGGCCTGTTGCAATCAGCTTTTAGAGATCATGCCCTTTTATTAGTAATTAAAGTCCTTCCTCCACCTCCCACATCTTGTACGAGCCCCCTTGCCAAGGGAGATGGTGGGAGGCAAAAATACCAAACAATCAATTCTCAGTACTGTCACTTTCAAACCTTTTTGTACTTTGTATCCAAAACCGTAGAGAGGCCCAGAAAAAATTGTTTCAAAATAATGAAATGGAGAAAGAACTGCAGACTGCTAGAAAGCCCAAACAAAATCAAAATCCAAACCAATCCACTGCTGTCTCAATAGGTCCTGCACACAATTCCAGGCTACTTAACAGCAAAGCCATCCTGCCTGTCCCTAGCAGGGAATTCTGTTCCTCCCTTTAAGCAGGGTGTCAGTCCTATTCTTACCTGCCAGGCAATTGTTTCTGCCCCACACCCATTTGGGTGATCCCTTCTTTCTCAGCCCCTGTTTGTGCTGGAGAAGCAAAGCAGCACCCCTTCATCTCTCTACTGACTCTGGAGAGGTGGCACCCACAGAACAGGAGATGTCAGAGGCATTTAGAGAGTGTCCTAATAATCTTCTGTCCCATTTCAAGGCCTGTTCTGCACCAGGCCTTTTGTGAAAAACAAAACAAAATAAAACAAAACAAACAAACAAAACAAAATCGAGAAACAAACCAAAACACACATCAAAGGAGTAACTCCTGTCAAGGCCTTTGTCCTGAGAAAAACCCAACATTTCAAGGTTGTTTTTCTTTCCCTTCCCACAACACATGTTAAGGATGGGGTAAATAGAAAGGACTGATTGGGAGCAGGAGGAGTGTTAAAAAAGCAGAGCAAGGGTCTCTTCTGGGGAGGGAACAGCCAGTGCCTCTGGGGTGGGGTGCTTGGCCTTCCTGCCTTTCCTGCACATACCTGGGAAAGACTTTGCATGCTCAGGTCTTGCTGGGCTCTTTACAAGTCCTCTTAGGCAGCCGTCCTTCACACCGGGATAGAAGAGCAGGAACCCTACAAGTCAAGGCTGTTAACTTTGTCCTTGTACCTTGAGCAGTGCTCAGTGTTGCCATCTGTCAAAGGGATATCCGAGTGCTGTCCTCGGATGGAGGGCTTTAGTTAATGTTTCGCAAATAGTTTGTTTCCTTGCTAAACAGAAAAAAGAGCAAAGAATACTTAGGAGCGTCATTTTCCAGAGAATCTCAAGAAAATGGCATTAAGGTCATGCTCTTTGCTTTCTTTTACCTTCCTTGTGTTCTGTTCTTGCCTTTTAGCTGAACATGTTCTCTGCCAGGAAGCTGTCTGGAGTTTTCAGAGCCATCAGATTCCATCATTTCAGATCCCATTCTGTATCCAGAGCCTCTCCAAACTTGACTTTTGTGCCAGCCTGTCTTCCCCCAGATCCCGCGGAAGTAGAGGAGCTGCAGCACTTTGTTTCTAACTCCAAGAGGCTGTTTGTAATGACTGGAGCTGGAATCTCGACCGAGTCAGGGATCCCAGATTACCGCTCCGAAGGTGTCGGGCTCTATGCCAGGACAGACAGACGGCCTGTCCAGCACGCCGAGTTCGTTCGCAGTGCCAGTGCCCGGCAGCGCTACTGGGCAAGGAACTTTGTGGGCTGGCCCCAGTTCTCCTCCCACCAGCCAAACACAGCACACCTGGTACTGAGGGACTGGGAGAAGCTGGGGAAGCTGCACTGGCTGGTGACCCAGAACGTGGATGCCCTTCACACCAAGGCCGGGAGCCAGCGCGTGACGGAACTGCACGGCTGCACTCACAGGTACCGCTGCTGGCTCGGGGAGGGGGGGCAGTGCTCCAGCCCCTCCTTTGGGGTGACTGACAGGCTGCTGCGGTGTCACCTGCTGAGAAACGAGGCAAAACATCCATGCTGTGCTCCTGGAGATGATGTGCTTAAAGGTGGTGCTGGGCTGGGGTGGAGAAAAAGATTACAAACCAGCACTGTTCACAGCACAGTATTTAAGAAACATGACCACCACTCTGTTTTTTCAGAGCATTATTTGGATCATTTCCCTTGAAGCCTGCATCAGTTTCCCCTTTCCTTGGTACAGCAAATGTCCTCTTAGAGAAGAGGACAAGGGGATCCTGAGGATACAAGGATTATCCACCAGGGCTAGCAGAGTGGATAGTGCCAGAATTGCACAGCATGAGTGGACTGGAGAAGGGCCATCACAGCCTGGCTGGGATTACCCAGGTTTCCAGATGAAAAAGCACAGCCTGAACTGGGAGAGAGGATGCACAGGGTTCAAAGCACTTCCTCTAGAGCATTCCTACAAAGCAACAGTTGGAGGTAGAAAGACAGCTCCTTGACCTGTACTATTTGGTAAATAAATATGGACAATTATGACAGGCCTCCTAAGGAACCAGTTACAGGCTCCAGATCTTCAGCTGACATGAAACTCTCCATTAAGACTTTGCTCTGAATTTCAGGGTTTTCTGCTTGGCTTGTGGAGATCGAATCTTGCGCTCTGAGCTCCAGGAGCACTTTGAGGCTCTGAATCCTACCTGGAAAGCTGAGGCATTTGGCGTGGCTCCAGATGGGGATGTGTTCCTGACGGATGAGCAGGTGCGCAGCTTCCAAGTCCCAGCCTGCCGTAAGTGTGGTGGAATCCTGAAGCCTGACGTGACATTCTTTGGAGACACGGTGAGCCAGGAAAAAGTGAGTTTTGTGCACCAGCGCCTGGCGGAATCAGACTCCATGCTGGTGGCAGGATCCTCCATGCAGGTAAGTAGGTCTGCCTCCCACACTGCATTCCTGCTTCCCTGCTACTCTGCCTGCAGCAATCCTGGCTTCCACAATGTAGGACTACAAATGGCTTGTGGAACAGATCAGCCTTTGCAGAGCTTCTTTGTATTTTATTTTTACTGTGGTTGGAATCTGGCTCCACAGGTTACTTGTTTGGGCTTCCCTGTCACTTTGTGCTGCTATAAATAACTCCATTCAGACCTCTCTCTGCTGCCTCCTCCATCAGGACGCTGTAGGTTCACAATTGCCCACAAACCCAAGATAACCTGGCACAATTCAGTCCTCACTTTTTTTTTTTCTTGAGATTTTTAGCCTTTGGCAGCTTTTTAGGCCCTGTGGCACACTGTGTGAAATTTCAGATTTTAGGACATCTAATTCCTTACTAAATTCTCAAAAAGAGAGCTGAAATACCTTTCCTTACTGCTTAGGATTGTCCTTTGTATCACAGTGTGTTTTCTCCATTAGCCTCTTATAGATAAGGTAAGGTAATTAAACAACAGGTAATTAAACAATTAAACCATTTTGTAATAGTGTTTGTATAAGAGAAATTTTTTCAGGAACAAGTTCTATTACGTTAAAATCCCCTACTCTAACACCTCCCAGAATGAGATAAAACCAAGGCTGCCTGCTTGTGATTCTCTTGGCTTCAGGATACCGGAGACAAATTCCTTGAGCTTGCACTTCTTAAGCTTATAATCCTTTGTACAGGAATGATTGAAATGCCTTAGGTTTGTTCTTGTACCACCTAAGCTGGGCCATGTGAGAACCATCAAAGTGCAGCATTTAAGAACCTATGATAACTAATAAAAGCTGCTGCAGAGATTTACTAAAAGACAAGGATGTTTTCTTTCCATGGGCTATGAAGTTTCAGTTCTATGAAATTGCAAATCCTTCACTGACAGAGGTTAAAAGCTGTTCTTTTCTGTGCGCTCCACAACGAAGGCATTTCATACCTGAACCCTGTATGTACAGCCCCTTTTCCCGCTGCCAACAGCAACTCTTTTCCTTTCCTTACTCCTTTCCATAGCTCTTCCCTTGCCTAAGCTGCCAGTAATTTTGTCTTCTGTTATTCCTGCAGGTATACTCTGGTTACAGGTTTGCTCTCGCTGCCCGGGAGAAGAAGCTGCCAATTGCAGTCCTTAACATCGGGCCCACAAGGTTAGATCACTTTGCATCCTTAAAACTGAATTCCCGCTGTGGGGAGCTGCTGCCTTTGATTGTTGCACAGGACCCAACCCGCTGAGCTCCAGTAGCTATCAGGAGTAAAGTTATTTCTGCAAGGTGAGTACCTTCCCTGGTCAGTCACAGGGTAAGAAGATGGGTTCCTGGCAAATGCTGAGGCTGAGATGTGCTGACTAAAAAGATGTTCCCACAGCGTGCATCAAAACGCGGCTGGAAATTTTCATCTGTAACAGTTACGCTCTGATGGGCCATGATACTGTTTCCCATGATCATAAACAAAAAGCATACTAAGTGCTAATGCTCCCAGAAAACTGGGCAGGAGTAGCCAGAAGACTCAGCAGTGTTGAATTCCATTTGTCAGTATGAGAAAACTACAGGGGATCATCTGTAGTTCCAGAGAACCTGATCACACTGTTGCCTTTGCAACTGATAATTCCAAAGCTCTTCCTGGTTGAATTGGTCCAGCTAATCCTAAGCAGACACTGCCGTTTAAAGTAATCAATTCCATCGATAAAGCAGCTTCTTCCTTCCACTCCTGCAGGAATCATCATCTCAGAAAGGGGAAAACCTCCATCTAGGAGGCAGCTGTGAGATCCGGTGCACGGGCACTGAGGACACCAGGAGAGGGCAGCAAGCCTCGCACGTGTCGGCCTCGCCAGTTCTCTCCATTGAAACCATCGGGAAACAGGATGATGATGAAAAAAAAAACACTTTTCTGCCTTACCTTGCCGTGGTAAACAGTGCCTTTTCATTCACTGGGACAGGATAATCGGACTGCTGTAACTGAGGACAAAATACCTCAGTTGTCCCCAGAGGAGAATGAGGGACAGGGATTTTGACTGAGTAACTTGAGGCTACAGCACAGGAGGGCGATGTGGGAAACCTGGGCATCTGCTGGAGGATCCAACGTCACTAGAAAAAGGAGGCAAGAGGAACTGCAGTTGTCATTTAAAGAAAAGATTTAAAATAGAAGCTGAACAAAAACACTGCTCTTGTAAGAGATTATTTGGAAGCACAGAGTACAAGGCTGACATCTTCCAGCAAGGACGGGAAGTCAGCATTTCCCTAAACTGTCAGTTAACAAGCTAAACTGCTTCCTATTTGAACCCTTTAAAAATTAAATATTGTTGAAATGCCAGAGGAGTTACTTTAAGCTAATCTGACCAGCACTGCTTTCAGAGGGGCTGCTACATTTTCCAGAATGCGTTTTCTGAGTATGTTATTTAATTAATGAATAGCTAAGTAGTGAATTGAAATTGTTTACAAGATTGATACTGTTTGCATTGTAATTTTCTCTCCCTCCTATGATTTATTTAAGTACACTCTCAATAGCCAGTTTAGATCCATTTTTTCCATTGCAAAAATGCAGAATGTAATTACTAGCAGCTGATGAATTAAGAGGGAAATACAATTAAATCTGTACAATAGGTCTCCCTCAGGAGCTAATCTCAAGCTATTAATAGATGCAATTTCCACACTCCTAACAGGAGATCCATCACTGCTGGCTAACCATTTTTTGTTGATCCTGAGGGTGGTATTGTAAGCCATATCAAACCTTTTACAGAGTAAAAGACAGAACCTTGCACAAACTAGAACACTAAATTTTTGACTTGACCTTCTGCATGAATCTACCACTTCCCTTCTGGCTATGAGGGATATTAATTGTTGGGGCTTTACAAATGCCCCCTCCTACTCTGCAAATAACATGTCCTGTACTAATATTTTGACAAGAACTGTAACAAGCAGTTGGAAACAAGGATGACAGAGTCATCTGCTAAAAGGTCAAGTAGCAAAGCAAGGACAACTGACCACGTGATACAAAGTTCTTTTTTGCTTTGTTGTTGATTCAAATCCATGCCAGGCAGGAGCAAGTAAAGCACAGAAAATAAGGGATACATAGGCACCCAATTTCTGGAGAAGGTAGAGGGCTTAATGCATTTCAAGATTTGGCTGTTATGGGTCAGAGGAGAGACAGCTTCACTTAGAAACCAAGTGAGATCAGTTCAGGACCCCCACCTGCATTCTGCTCTCATTTAATGGAGACCCCACTTTGCAGCAGGAAGGTGTCCTCTGTTTGGCAGTGAAGAAAGCTCACAGATGTCACTCCATATTTACCTGTCCTGTCCATAGTACAGCTGTCCTGCTAACCAAGGCTTTTGCAGAAATCATGGCTAAAGTATAGCAGAGTCCCCACACACAGGGAATTTATTTGCATAGGTTTTTCCATGTAAGAAGAGGCACTCCTTAGCAGAGGAGCTGGGGCTGAGTTTCTCACCATCTGCATCATCTTCTGCCCCACCTTGAAACTCCTGTGACATTGGTATGTCAAAAACAGAGGCTGCAGGTTTACTGCCAGTAGAGCCAGCATTTTGAGATGGTGTGGGAGCATTACCGAAACATCTAAAACAAGAAAACATTTCAAGTGAAGACTTGGAATTAGCTATGTGACAGGTAACTAAACCTCCCACATCTATCCCTGCCTCTTCTCCAGTTCTGCAGCTGAGCCTGTGGGAGAGGAGTCAGGGTGTCTCTTCAGCATTACTGGCAGATGAGTCATATTACCCTGACCCTCTAGGGATTATACTTTTAAGTCCCTGAGACAATGACTTACAATAAACAAACATTACAGTAGACTTCATGTCCATAGTTTATTACTATATGTTAATGAGCATATCTACAGCAAATACATGAGGCTGAGATGAAGGAGTTCCTTTTTTTTTTTCCTGCTAGGCTGATCTAGTACTACTAAAGTTGACTTCTTTTAGAGTAGGATCAGAGCACTTCAGCTCTTAACATGTTCTCCAAGACACCACTGAGAAGTTCACTCAACTGAGAAATGCCTGAGAGCGCCTAAAGATCCTGCACCAAAAGCCAGATCTGCATCACTCTAATGCTGACTGACACCTTCCCCTGTCACTCCTTGGGGGCTGTTTGTGTGGGAAGATGCAATGCAGAGAGATAACAGCTATCAGAACATAACTATGTCTTTGCAGGCAGCTAGCAAAGGCCTATCCTGAGAAGTTTGTGTTTCTCAGCTTACTGATGTCATCACCAGCCTGGAGGGAGTTACAGAAACCTCCAGGGCTGAGCAGTATAGGAATTAGCCATGCTGTGGGAAAACAACAAACTCAGTAACATAACTGACCTAGTGTTCAGCTTCATTCTCTCAGACAATGCAGAATTTGCAAGGGAGGAGGGTTTAAAAAGGGGGAGAAATGTTGTTCCTGAAAGCTAAAACAAAAGGGCCATAATCTTTGTGTTATTGGCTAAAACTATGGGAAGTGTTACAGAGCCTGAGCAGTGTTCTCACAGATCCTTTCTATCTATGCTGTCTGCTTTAAGTCAGTCTCATCCTCCACATGATTCAACCCTCTCCCACCTTTTCTGGCTCATAGTTTTTAGACCAGTCCACCAGTATTTTAGATCATGGCTTGCAGTCATAGCTCTGTGCACCTGCGGGTGCCAAATGTACACATCAGACAACAGCACAAGGACAGGTTTTTTTACCATGAAATTAGCTGAATCAACAGCTTATGCTCTTCCCTTTTTCTTACAGCTGTTCCTCCTGAGGTTTGGATAAAGGAGCTGAGAGTACCTTATAATGGATTTTTCTGCTGCTCCTCTGGAAGTGGGGTTGGAGTTACCCAAAGCAAATAAAAGCCACTTCCTATTTGGCAAATCTTGTCTTTGTTTCTGGGCAAATTCTCAGAGCAAACTGTAATTGAGCCCAGCAGCCTGAGAGAGGTATTTCACACACTGAGCTCCAGTGAGGGCAACACAGACTGCAGATGGCCTGGAGGGCTGGGTGGCTGTGGTGTAAGTGCAGCCTCCCACATCTTACAGTCACATTGCTCCTACTGACACACCTGCTTGTTCATGACTTCTGGAAAATGACCCAAATCTACCTTCTAGAGTGTGCTTCTTCCCCCATAACTGCCTTGGATGTCACCCTTTCCCAGCCTTTGCAGCAGGAAGGTGAAAGACTGTTCCAGACACCTGCAATTCTGTCCTCTCCCACTAAGGAAAGATACCCAAGTACCACCTCCTGCACCACTAACTAGACAATGGCAGGGAAGAAGAGAGGAAGAGAAGAGCTTGAGAGGAAGACCAACAGTACAAATGTCTTGTATTGGTCTCAGGCCCGAATAGGAACTGACACAGGATCATTACCACAAGCACAGTTGTTTGCTCTCTGCATGTCTCACCTCAGCTGGAGCACTTTCCCTTTCATCTCTGCAATGCCCATATAGTTAAGAGTAATTCGACTCTCCCTGCAGAGACTGAAAAATCTTGGCCTAGAAAACAACAATAGAGAAAAGGAAGATAAGAGGCTGAGATTTCACTTCTGCAGTGTGAGCCCACAGAGCTGCTGTCCCTCCAGCATCTCACGTCCCAGCTGCAGTGCTGTGAGGGGCCTCAGAGCTCCCCAGCTTGCTGAGCACAGGGATACCTTGTGTTTCTGTTTTGGAACAGGCTGTCATGGCAGAAGATCTTCACACACACCTTGTACTCTCCATACACTGGCAGTGAGTCAGTTCAAGCAATCACTGGCCCTGCTCTTTCCACAACATTCCTCAAAGCCCTAATTAGCAGAACCCCTTCAGCCTCCCCACCTGTGCCGTTCATTAGGGCCTGACACGCTACATTTTGTGGGAAGGTTCCCTATGGATGGAGGATGTTTGAATTTACTGTTAGGTCTTTCACACCACCAAAGCAGCATGGAAATGAGAAGCACGATCAAGGGATTAAACATAAGTGTAGGCTTATCAAATCTGTACAGAGTAGGATGGATATAAATTGAAATGGAGCCTTCATTTATCCACTGAATTTATCTATGGAATGCTATCTATGTGCCCCAAATGCTGGATGCCAGGAGTAAATACACTGCTCACCTCAAATCTAGAGAGTTCCTTTTACAGGCCAAATTTATACCAACAGGTTCTGAAATGCTTCCAACTGCACCCCAGCAAATCTTCTCTGCTAGTGATGATACAGCTCAAAAGTACAGTGTTCCTTCTAGATAGTGATGGTATTTTACTTTTTTTTCTCTACAACAGGATTTATAATTTATCACTACAAAGGGATTTCAGTAACATTTACTTAGGAGCTTTACTGTTCTACAAAAAATAATTTCAGAGAATCAGAGCTAGTGTGTGAGCACAGGAGATCTCATCTTGCACTTCCAGCCCTAGGAATGATTCATCTCGGCCACATCTTGGGAGCACATCCAGGATCCTCAGGATTTCTTTGGAGGACCCCAAGTACTCAACGTTTCCAGAAAATTCACGTACACGAACACCCAAGGAAAAATAAGCAACAAATACTGGTACAAAACTAGGACTTGATGTGCCATAAGATGGAGTATCTGGCTGCCACACACTCCATTTTTTCTTTCATTAAAAAAAAAAGAACAAAATGCAATTTACTATCTTATCTCATTATCATGCTAATGCCCTCAAAGATCCAGTGACCTTCAATAGGAAGGCATTGCAAGTACCTTCCAACAACATATCAAGCCAGCTTCTTCCTTCTCCATCTGTTTCTAGTTTCTCAGAGCCCTCTTGCAGATCCTTGGGTTCTGCTCCATGTTTGGGTACAGTTCATTCCCGTGAGGAACAGGAGTGAGCAGCCCCTGCCCCAGGAGCTCACCCGCACCTCCCTAAAGCCTCTGCCAGCAGAACTAGTACCAAGGGCGGGGGGCGGCTTTGGCACAGGACCTTGGCAGGGCTGGAAAACCGGGGCAGACACCATCCCTCAGAGGGGTCCCTGCGTTCCAAGCCAACATTACCTCCTGTCCTGCAGCTCCTGACCGGGAACGGCGCCGGGCAGCGGAAGGGCTCCCTCAGAGCGGGGAGCGGCCGAGCAGCTCAATCCCCTCACGCAGCCGTGCCCCGGGGGACAGCTGTGCTGTGGCTATGGCGTGGGCAGCCCGGCGCCAGGGTGAGGGGGCGGGAAGGACGCCCTGACGAGCCCCGTGAGGGCGGGAGAGGTGCCCTGGGGAGCCCCTGGAGTAGGAGGGAGTGTGGGAAGGTCGCCCTGAGGAGCCCTTGGAGCGTGAGGGAGTGTGGGAAGGTCGCCCTGAGGAGCCCCGGGCGGGTGAGGGAGGGCGAGGGAGGGCGTGAGGGTCACCCTGAGGAGCCCTGCGAGGGCGGGAGAGGTGCCCTGAGGAGCCCCCAGGACGGTGAGGGAGGCAGGGTCGCCCTGAGGAGCCCCGGAAGGGCAGGAGGGTCGCCCTGAGAAGGTCCGGGAGGGTGACGGAGAGTGGGAAGGGCGCCCTGAGGCGCCCCTGGAGTGTGAAGGAGTGCAGGAGGGTCGCCCTGAGGAGCCCCTGGAGTGTGAAGGAGTGCAGGAGGGTCGCCCTGAGAATCCCCTCGAGTGTGGGGAAACAGGAGAGTCGCACCGCGGAGCCGCAGCCCCACCCTCAGCCCGCAGGTACCTGAGGGGCGGGGCGGGGCTGCACGCGGGACGCACCTGCTCGCGGTCTCGCGCGCCCCGCCCCGCCCCCGCCGCTTCCAAGGGCCAATCAGCGAAGGCGGGGGCGCCACGCGCGCCCCAGCGAGCCGTGGGCAGAGGGGGCGGGGCGTGAGGGGAGGTGGGGAGGCCCCGCCCCTCCCCTGCCTTCCACATGACCCTGTCGTCGCAGCGCGGTGGGAAGCAGTGGGTTGTTGTAAGGCGTTTATTGAGGTGGTTTTTAAGTCCTGCGGCCGCCCTGAGGGGCAGGAGGGAGACTATTGGCAGTATTTCTTTTTATCCAGATCCTTGTGTTCGGGGTTGTAGGGCGTGTTGGCGAAGCACATGGCAGCGGTGCGGTCGCAGTTGCAGATGAACGCGGAGCACTCGTCGTTCTTGCCTGGAGGAGAGAGAGGAGCGCTCAGACCCCGCAGCTCCTTCGCCAGGCACTGCGGTGGCTCAGGCTGGCATTTCTGCTGTCAGGGTGTACCCGTTTCAGTGCTGCCATCGTTTTGGGGTGCACAGGATTCTCCCCGCTAAACCTCTGCATCCAAAGCTGTGCCCTCCAGCCCGGCCATCTCTGGCCCCTTCCTCCCTCCCCTCCTGCAGTGCTGTTTGCCGGCCTCTCTGCTCTTTACCTCGGTTCCAGAGCCCTATAAAGGTTTCACCGTTCATCAGAGGTGTCCGGCAAAAGCCGGGTAACACTGCCCAGTTAACACGCTGATCTCTTGGGTACTGCCATTAAAAGGAATCCCAGAAAAGTGCCACAGGGACTCAGTCCCCTGAAGAGGAGACAGGCTTCCCTGTGATACCATATATCTTCATAAACTTTAAATTGTGGGCTATATGGAGAATATTCGCTCCAGTGCCTGTGTGAGGTGTGCCTTTTCTGACAACCAGCCCCCCGTCTTCCTGCCACAGAAGTGTGAGTGTAACACAGAGCCCTGTTCCTTCCAAAGAGAGAATGGAGAACATTTGGAGTCATGTGGAAGTGGACGTACTGCTACATGTAATCTCCCCGCTGGAGCAGCTGTACTTGTAGGACTTGGTGTAGGGGTTGTCCAGGAGGAATCTGCATGAGTCCAATTTCTGTGCCTCTCCGTAGCAGTTATCGTGTACCTGGCAGCACCTGGGAAACAAGGAGAAAAAGGTCAGAAACTACCAGAAATACAGCTGACCTGTAAGACACACAAATATACTATGGTTACTTTGACAAGGCACTGAACAAAAAAAAACCCCAAAATCAAAAAGATACCCAGTGACAAGAGAGCAGCCCCAAAGGGAAACGGTTGTGCCAGCTCATGGTCCGAGAGGTGTGTGGTACACGTGTACTTACTGGAGATGATCTCAATTGTCTATTGGGCACAGAGAAAGCAAAAGCCAGTGTTTACCCTATACACCCCCTCAGTGGTCCTGAGAGCTCACAGCCAACACAAAGCACGGTGTCTTGGCTGTCAGACTTGTGTGATCTCTAAACTGTCCAAGCCGTTTCCCAGCATTTTCCAGCTCAGCCCTGCATGTGTTGATGGCTGTGCACTGGGCAGAGTGTGCAGAGCTGCGCCCAGGCTGCTGGCACAACACTGCTGGAAAAAATGCTGGAATGAGCGTGCTGTGCTGCCATAGGAAGGAAAAGAGAGTTGCTGGGATTATATTTTATCTTAGTAATAAGGCACTGAGGTGTGATACTGCACATCCTTGTTCCTTTGAATCCATCTGTCAGAAGAAGCTTCATTCACAGCAGCTGGAGGGTTTATGAGTGTTTATAGGCAGGGCCAGCTGAGACGAAGCTGGGGTGCAGAACCAGGAAAGCACAAGCAAGGAAAGAGGTTTGTAAAAGCAGGGTGTTATAAACCTGTCGAGCTCATCAACTGGAGTCCCGCTGCCTCCCAAGCCGCAGTAGCAGCCGTAGCCGTTGAAGTCCAGCAGCGGGTGGCTGTCTGGCAGGGTGCACTTGATCAACTTGCGGAACAGCCACATGGCCCGGGGAGAGACATCAGCGCTGGCTGCGCCCACTGAGGAGAGACACAGAGGTTAGAGTCAGGCTGACTGTTACCAAGTCCGGGGGTGAGGGCACCTACGCACCCAACAACAGGAAAAGCAGGGTCAGGAACTTCATTCTTGCAGGACTTGACAGAGAGACTGGCGATAAAGGGAATTGGTGTCTCTTTATACGACAAGCTCACCTTGACATGGGTATGAGATAAACCAGCCAGTATTTATGTTACTAAATGTAGACTTCTTCCATCGGAGACTGTGAGTGGGAGGTTGTGGCGTGACCAATTGAAGGCCAATTGAGTGAACTCTATGGAAGCTGGGAAGGTAAATATTTGCTCTCTAAATTTTTCCTATTAAATTCTTGTAGTGATGCTATTAGAAGTCAGCCTGAAAGACCTGGATGTTTTTAAGGCCCCTCTGCTGAAAAATAGTAGCAGTATGGTAGTTAAGTTGGAAATTGCTGGCACACTAATAACCACCTGTCATTAATACCTGCATCCTCTTTTTATAGTATCCCACTTATCATTAATCATGTATCTCTCCATGGATTCTCCTGGCCTAATTCAGAGAATAAGGTTCAAGTTGTCCACTCACCTCAAATAACCATTTGGCATGAGCTGAACCAAAAAAAAATTTGAGCTGTTCTTTACTTCGAAACCACAGAGGAGAAGGAGGTACTACTAGGCAAGAAACAGGAGCCAAGTGACCTGGAAAGTGTCTGTATCTGAGTTAACAAGTAGTGTCTGTTTTTACGTGGCCTTAAGGGATTTACACTGGAAATGAACTGGGCTTAGAAGTGTCAACATACACAGCAGACTTCATTACCTTAGAGAGAGCAGTTTGTCCTTCTCCAGCACCAATGCAGAACCCAGTTAGGCCCTTTGGTTCTCTATGCCAAGGGATGAGGTGAGTTGGGAACCTTGAATGAAGTTCAAGAAAAGGGTAAGAAAAAGCTTCCTGGAATCAGCCAGGGGTAAGTCCAAAACACTGTACTCTCTATTTAGACCCCAGAGGCTCTGGCATTTTTAAGGTGACAAGTTTGGCATTTTTACACACTCAAGATACAGATCCTAGACTTGGTAGTCTGAGTCTGCATTTATTTCCAAAGTACTAAACAAGTCTTCAGTTTTTAAGAGCAGAGGAAGAGGCAAAGCCCACCTTTCCACAACAACCTAATATACCATAGTGCTTACACAGGAAACTTTGGGCTCCACAACCTCCAGTAGGTTCCAGAAGGGGTGACAAGGACATTTTCCTCCTCACAGGGTCTGAAAATATGCCAGGGTGCCCACAGTATCCATTGGATGGTGATACATCCATAGTTAAAGCTAGACATGCTGCTGAACAACCAAACCCATTCTGACATTTCTGACCTCTTTGAGCACTATGATTCTCTGGGGCTGCCCACTCATAGGTTACCTACAGCAAACAGATGCTGAGTTACAGATTGAATATTCTCAGTGTTCTGACAGAGCACTGGACAAACATTAAAGGCTGACGTAGAGGACAGTCCGTACCGCAGTTAGCTCAGAAAAAATAATTTAATCTTTTGTTGATAGATCAATCTGCTGACTTTCCCTTCAATATCCACTGAAGTGTTCCCTCTCTTCTCTGATACTTTGATCACCTTCACTCTTTTTTTTTAGAATTATTATTTATCTGTTCTCTTATCTATGAAACTCCAGCTCCTTTTTCTGCAATTGTTGGTATTTGATGTATTACTTAACATTTCCCAGAAAACTTCCAGAAAACCGGCCTCTTCAAGTCATAAATCAAAAATGTCTCATGGTGATTTTCATAACGTTTTAATTCAACAAGAGGATCACCATGTGTGGGAAAGTAAGCATGTGCACATTACAAGAGTGCCTCATGAGAAAAATCCCATCAGGGGATTTTTCCACCCATGCTATGTTTGGTTTCCCCCAACCTGTGCTGTATGCAAAGCCACTGGTTCTCAGTACACTCATGAGCACATGCCAGCTTACAGCTGGTTCCAACTTACAGACTTGAACCTTAAATTGTTTTTAAGACTGCTTTTCCTAGACTTGCTCAGGGTTCCCTATTTCACACATAGAATTCTCCTTTCTCTTGTAGCACTGTCTGTTAAAGACTTCTCATCTCCACATTTACTTTCTCAGATCTAGCTTACTTGACTCACCATAGTCATTGAACCCAGGGCATGAGCCAACATTCTAAGCACCACATTATCTCCTCCTTTTTTTGAACCTATAAATACTTATACAAAACCTCTGTAATGCAGAGGAGAGACACAATCTCTACTAAACCCAGACCTGCCTCACATTATAAACTGGGCCACTGCCAGTGGGAGCAGAAGAGCCGAGCCTGGGGCTTTTATCCTAATGGCAGGATGCGACTCCTGCCAGGTCCAAGTTCACCTGAAACCTCTCCCATTGGAAAACCCTCCCACCCCCAAATGATGACAGAGGAGGACAGTTTTCAAATAATTTATTAGGAATTTAAAACTGAAATCTGGAAAAAGGGTTACAGGTGTGGAGAGAACAAACACTGGAGTGTAATAACTTACTGGCTTAAAAACACAGCTTTATTTTTCTTTTAAAAAAAATGCCCACCCTGAAACCGGAGCCCCAGCCTCCAGGCAGTGGCAGCAGTGGCCAGAGAGTGACTCACAGCCCAGCAGCAGCACAGCTGGCCCGGGATGTCTGGAGGGGGCACGGAAGCAGTTCAGCGCATATACCAAGAGGGAGGAAAGCGCTGTCCGCAGACCCAAATTTGAAGTATATAGAATAAAAATAAACCCAATAAAATGCAGCTCTTCTTTAATTAGGAAATATTTAAAAAAACAGACATACAGACTCTTGTCTCAGTAACAAAAATTATTGCTTTGTGTTTTCAGTACTGATCTGTTAAGTACCTTCTTACCTAAACAGAACTCTCCAAACGCATCGCCCAGGTCAGGACAAGCTCCAGCAAACAGGGGAGAGATGGAAAAGGGCCCTGTGGGTGCCATGACCCTCCCGGTCCTTTCTTAAATGCCCCTCTCCCTTACAGGGGCTCAGTTTGGGGGAAAAGAGGGAATGATTTTTAAAACTTAAGATGAAGCTGTTATTTCCCTGGGAAAAGAGTTTGGCTGCATCTTAATAAAAGGCTTAATCACCCCCCTTAACAAGGTCTTTGGTTCACTGAAATCCAGACCCAAACCTGCCCCGTGTATTCCTGCTGGAGGCCTCCCCTAGCAGAGTGCTGGTTAGCAGGGGCCTGGACCACACCAGGGGAAGCCCCAGTAGGTTCTGGAGAAGGGACCGGATCAGCCCCGCACAGGACAACGGACAAATTCCCACAGTCTTCAGAACACAGAGTAAAGCAAACGGGAAGCTGCAATTCTATAATTCGTATAATCCCTGAGAAGCCCTTAACCCGCCCCAAAATCACCACCCTAATGCTTTTCTCCCCTGTTAATGAATCCCCATCCCAGCGCCCTGCCCTTCAGAGAACGACCACCCAAATCTCCCCCTGGCTGACACCCCTTCCGACACCCTCGCCTCCGGAGGAGGATCCCCCTTCCCAGGAAATCTTGACGCAAGCGATAATGTTTGGAGAGTGAATTCCTTTCAAAGTAACCAAGACAAGCAACGGCGGCAAAGCCCTTTCCCTAAGCCAGCCCAGAGCCGGCACTACGGAGCCCAGGAATGGAGTCTGTACATCGAGCAATTGGAAGCAGCTTTAACCCGCTCAGCAAAACAGCCGATGGCCGGTACATTTCACCCCCGCCCGCCCCCCCCACCCCCCTTTCATCTCATCAGAGGTCTTAAAATCTTAAATCTTACAGTAAAAGGTGTACAAAAAAAGAACGGAGTCCTGTCAGGATTCTGCTGGAGAGTATTGCTCACGCTGCGGCTCCAAGTCCAGGACCTGGAGCTGCTCCTTGGAGCCAGGCTGCAGGCGGCAGCCAGGTTCAGCTCGCGATATTTACATATTATACAGGAGGAAAAAGAAAACCCCACGTAAAACTAAACCTAGGAAAAAAAAAAAATCTTTCAGCTGTAAGGATAGTGTTTTTCACTTAGCAAAATATACATTTGTTTTGTTCCATAGCGATGTCCAACGTTTTCGGATCCTTGGAGTTTCACACTTTTCAAAGCCTCACATTTACAAAACAGAAACAATTAAAAACAGTTTCTTTAAAAAAAATAGAAATACAGCAGTTCCTCTCAGCCTTTGCTCTCTCTGTGTCTCTTTCTTCCCTTCAGAACTGCATTCTTGTTACATACCGTGCTTTAAAAACACTGACGACAACAACAACAGAGTTGAAAATATTCAAAACAGTTTCAAAGCCAAATAAAAATACTCCTCAATGAAACCTACCTAACACAATCACAAAGCCAATTCATAAAATATGTCTACTAGCTCGGGAAAGAGCAAACAACAAAAAGAAGGGGCAGCTCCCCAAAAAAAAGATAAAAAAATAAAATAAAAAAATAAAAACTAACAGCTAATAAAATAAATAAAAGAAGAATCAGTGGGCTGGGGGCAGGGAGGGGGGAAGCGTAAACCGTCGGTGGTTAGTAAGAAAGCGAGATGATCTCCTCGGGTTCAGTCCAGTGTGGTCTGGTCAAAGGGAGAGATCGGGGCAGGGCGGCAGGAGCCTGGCAGCCAGCCGGCAGTGTGCAGTTTGATTCAAGAGAAAGGTAACCTTGGCTCATCCCCCGAGGCTCACCAGATCCTCCAGCCGCTTGCTGTCCTCGGTTAGGTCACTGGGGAATCTGTGGGACAGCAGGGGAGGGAAGGGACAGGATCTAGAACAACCACAAGCTTTTCTCTTGGGGTTTTCTTCCAGTGTGATCTGACAGAAACACTCGGTACCCAAACCGTGCCTCAACACACGCTCTGCCCCTCGCTGGCACAGGGATGGGGCGTGGCAGAGATGTTTCCATCTTTAATAGGACCCTGGGAAACAGGGTCCCATGCACCATGTGGCCTGCCCAGGGCTGTCACACTCCTGACCCCTGGAAGGGCTGGGACATAGCAGGGTCCAGTCATTTCTCCAGCACCCACCTCAGTGCAGCCCCACCAGGCTGCCACAGGCTCCTGCCTGGACACTGTTCCCTGCAAGTTTCTGCCCTCCTTTTTTAAAAGCTGGTTGTTGCTTGGTTGTTGGGTTTTTTTAATTTTATTTTAAGCCAGCTCACTTCAGTTACATTTACAAAGCAAACAACAACCACTCACCAGTTCCCTCTCTGGCCCATCTGAGGACCAGAAACAGAACTGATCAGATTTTCCTTCTACCCTTCTCCCAGGCAGGAGATGAAAAACCTTGCTCCTCAGAGACTGGTCTCAGCAGCAGTGAGAACAACCAGCTGCATGGCAGAGGCTTCCCCAGCCACACAGGTGAGCCAAGCTTATCTCTCAGGATCACCACTGGGTTGTGACTCTGGCCAACCCTTTCCTCTTCCTGTCAGTGCTCCATTTCCTTCCTCTTATTGCCCAGGCACAAAGTCACCTCTCCACAACACTCCCAGCCCCAGGCTGGCCACAGGACTGGGTCAGGCTGGTGAGCCTCACAGCAGCATCCACAGCTTCAGCCAAGAGCCCAAGCACAGGGCCAGCTCAGAACCTTACTCCTCTCTCTTATTTCCCACTCCTGTGCAAAGTTCTCTTACCTCCTGCCTTCTTGGTCCCCAGCTTCAGTGATACCCATTGGTAAAAGCTGTTGCAATCAAGGGACCCTGTGAAGAAAGAGTTAAAACCCCACTCTTAAACAAAAGAAAAGTGAAGGAGAATTACTACCACAACAAATTCAGTCATGGCTCAGATGCTGGGAAAGCTGGTTTCAGTTGGAGGTGGCAAGTCTAAAGAGCACATCACCCTGCACATCACAGTGTGTCAGGGCCAAGACAGGCTCTTGCAAAGCCTGAGCCAGATCAGAGAAAGGTCTGGAAATCAGGACCTTGAGTGGTGATCAGGAAGACCCAGCAGAGACCAGGGATGGGGGTTCCAAGTGAGCTGCTGCATTCTGCACTGGCTGCCTGTGGTCTGGGGCTCAGCCAATGCTGCAGTGGGTGGCATTTCTTGAACAGAAATCAGGCTGTGGGCTGAGGGGGCTGCCCACTGCTGCTCACCTCCATCACCTTGTGGAGACACAGCCCCTTCCCCTGGCCGTGCCACTCTCCACCTCCCTCCCCCCACAGAGCCAACAGGGAGTACTGAGCCCTAGGGCAGACAGGGAACACTCACCCCTAGGCTGTGCCCGAAGCCGGTGCTCGGGGCTGGACTGGCAGCGCTGATGTAACTGCTGACCCCTGAGTCCTGGTTGGCGGCTCCATAAAGCTCTGCCATCGGCCCGGGGCTGGTGGTGCCCAGGAATCCACCGGTGCGACTGGGGGTGGAACCTACAGCAGGCAGCAAAACTACGTAGTGAAGATCCCAAAAATGCAACCCCGTCCCACCCCCCTCCCGTGGCCCCTGGCAAAGCTCCGTGACAGGACCCCGCCCTGGGGAGGGCAGTGGCAGTTACCTGTCCCTCGCACCACGGCCGCCGCAGCCGCTGCTGCCGCCATCGGTCCATACGCAGTGAGGGGGATCGCTGGAAAAGAAGGAACAGCCATCTCAGGGGCATGGGAAACTCCTCGACAGAAGCCTTCATTTCCCGCTGCAAAATACTGGGCCCACACGTACATATGGCCTTAGTGCACCACAGGGGACAACAAAGGATGACAACCGGGAAGTGCACAGCCCTGCATTTATCTGTGTCCTTTTGCACAGCCAATGTCCAGGGGAATGCACGAGCCATGCTCTGCCAAGCCCACACCCCAGAGCAGCCCAGGGCACGACATGGAAGAGCTGAACCAGAAGTGGGCAATTTCAGATATATCCTGCCACTACTTAGCTTGCAAGATGCAGTTAATCTGAAGCTACAGATCCAGATTTTGGCAGTAAATGTGGAGAAACGCAGCAGCTCAGGGACAGCAGCTGAAGCTCAACGTCCTGAGGCTCAACTCCTCCTCTGTCTCTTGGTAGTATTCTTGAATAACATTTTAATAGCCTCTTTCTCCCTGTGTCTCTGCTTAAGATGCACCATCCTCCCCGCGCTGAATTTTGCTCCTGAATTGCTCAAACCCTCATTGTTCATTGTAGAAAAGCAGGAAACATATACCTAGGGAGCAGGAACTAGAAATGGCTTAATTAAAACAGTAAGTCTTAATTTATATGTAGCAGTTCTAATTCCCAACTCTACTGCCACAGGCATCCAGCCCTCAGGGCAGGAGGCATCTAGCCAGTATGTTTCTCTTTGCCCTTAAAATGACTGGGTCAGCATTTCATGCTTGAATGTGAAATTCACTGTGATTCTGTTTAGAGCACCATAAAAAGAGGTCAGAACAAATCAATCGCGTTAAGGCTGAAACCCAGACTAGCTTATGAGGGAATATTTAGTAGCAGGCACCAGCCTGTTTCAAGCAAACGTCATATGAGGCTTCTATCTGGGTTAGCCGCTCATTACAGGCCCTGGGCCAACGAAGGCATGTTGCTGCTTCACATCACCCCCAAAGATGCTGTCCTGGGAAAGAAAGGCTGCTGGTAGACACCCTCCTGCCCCATCACTGCTGCAAGTCCCTAACTCATGAATGAATGCGGTTTTATTGAGAAAGGAGGCGAGGTCTTCTTAAAACTCCAGGTTTTTTTCCAGGAGAAACCCTCCTTGCCTTTGCAATCTTATCTGCTGAGACACCAGGTTTGTGCTGTGGTGACAAAGCACCTGCCTGCGCACACCCTGGGTGCTGGAGCAACCATCCCTGCCTGTGCCATCCCCTCCTCTCGTCTCCCCTTGCCAAGCCCATGGAGCACAGCCCACGTGTGCCGCAGCCACTCCAAGGCACGAGGGCCCTCGAGCGCTGCACTGCTCGCTGGGCCTTTGTGGGAGCGGAGGGGCCCTGCCCTCCACGGGGCCAACTCCAGCCTATACATGGGAATGGCAGCCCGTGGCCCAGCCAAGCGGCTGCACAGGGCCTGTTTAACAGGAGGTAAGCGTAGCGGGGAGGGAAGAATGCCACGATCCCCAGCTGGTACTTCAGTGAGACACTCAGGACTGGAAGCTAACGTGGCACCCAGCCAGGACACCAGCATTAATAACTTCTTGTTGTACAGAGCCCCAGCCACTGGTGACAGCCAGGCCTCATGCAGGTCACCTCTGCTAGGAAAAGGCAAAGGGCAGCCAGGGGTGGACACGGAGGGAAAAACATTTCTGCAAAATCACCAATGTTCCCTTACAAATTTTACGGGTTTTGCTGAAAAACACACATGTAAATAAACAACTGGACCCACATCTCCTTTGTTTGGCAATGAGAAGGTTCAGAGGTGCTTATGCAGCTGCATACATGGTGTCAGGGAGGGGTTTTGTTAAGAGGGAGACAAGATTTAGTCTCCCTTTATCACCATCAGGGAAATTTGTTCATCGGTGGCTGCCAACCTGAGCATCCCTAGGAACTTGAGGATCACAAAGTTCTGTGCCACAGAAACTCCCTTTCAAGCCTGTTTGTATTGCTAATTTCAGGAGAGCTTCCCGGGAAGTTTTCCCACACCCTTTTATGGAGAAATTCAAACCCTGAAACAGGTGGGGGCAAGGAAGCGCTTGGGAGAAGGAACACCAGGGAAATGAGATGGCACACGGGGAGCAGGGTGCTACACAAAGCTGCTTTTCTACAACAAAAACCATGGACAGGACAGAGCTGGGGAAAACATGGCCATGAAAGGGAGAGTAGACAGAAGGAACATCATGTAGAGAGAACACACTGCACACACCCCAGGGGCTGAGGATCCAGGGAGTATTTGCACTATGAGGACACTGAAAATGGTCCTCTGCTCTCACTTTGTTCCACGGCTCCCTGTGAGCACTGCAGGACTCTGCAGAGTCCCACCACACTCACTTCTCCCTGGGAAGCCTGTGTCGGAGTAGTCAGGGAAAGCAAGGAAAGCATTCCCTGCAGCTCCTCCTGCCCAGGGAAGTGGGATTGGAATAACTAGGAATAGCCCCCACACCCTCTCCCTTCTCCCAGCACTCCAAATCTTAACCTTGCAGCAGTTCAGGTTAAAACAATTTGTAGACCTGTGGCAGTAACCCTGCTCTTTGCAGTTTTCCATATCTGGTTTACACTCAGCCTGGGGCGAGGAGCTAAAAACAAAGCAAGCAGCAGGAAAGGACCTGCATGGCCCTTTTTACAGGCAATACCCATGGCTCTGATTGCCCCTCCATCTTTCCAGCCCCAGCTTTGGATGGAGCTCATTCAGATGAAAAGAGGAAATAAGGAACGTTTCCAGTCTGAACTGCGCCAGGCTGTGGAGCAGCAACACCGCTGGAACAGCACAAAGCCCCCTTCTCCCCTTCCAGCTTGTGAGTTTAGGAAACGAGCGGGACTGACCTGTGAGCTCGGGGAGGACGGGGGCACTCGGGAGAGGGGTCCGCTCTACACGGAACTCTAAAAACGAAATGCAAGACAGCTTAGGAACTCATCACACGCCCCGAGGGAGGCCCCGCAGAGACACAGCAGCCGGGGTCTGCTGGGGGAGCAGCCTGCAGCCAGACTGCGACCAGGCCAGAGTCTTCTTTAAACTGATTTATAACTGGTGCTGAAAGGTGCTGCACTCCTGCCCTGAAGGCTGAAAGGATCCATTTATCCTTAGAATAAATGTGGCCAGGGCAGGGTGAGTGCAAGCTTCACTGTGCAGCCTCAGGTCTGCCCTGGAGCACAGCTCTGTGACCCGGCCAATCCGACCTCTTGGTGGCAATGCCAGCGGGTGCTCTCTACGTGCCACGCTCAGCCTGGCATGGGTTTACAATGAGGCACTTGAAGCCACTACAGCTGGATTCACGGAGAGCTTCCAGACAGCCAGGAGGCAACAGCAACTTTCAGCCATAGTCAGCCTGGGCTCGCCTCAGGCAAAGGGGAAACCTCCCATTCCCAGCCCCTAATATCAAAACTTCATATATCAACCATCACACTGAGGGATGGAGTAAGGAAGGGATGCTCAGAGTTGCCACTTCTCTGAAAAACAGCAATATGAGGCTATCCATTGAGTGTGCTCTGCCTCGTTCCCCTGCCTGGCAGAGAGCGGGAGGGAGGGGAGGCCCCACAAAGCTCTGAGCAGCTGCAGCACAGCAGGTTCCACCCATTGATCGTGGAGTCCATGTTCTGAGCACATGGCAGGGTTGGGAGCTTGAAACCACCCAGTTTGCAGGGGATCTGCAGCCCTCTGGCCCAGCAGATGCTTTGTGGAGGCTGTGAGTGGTCCAGGTGCTGTTCAGAACACAAGTGCAGCGCTGCAGGCGCCTGCGTTTCAGGTGCCCAGGAGTTCCCTGGCACATGGGATTTAACATTCTGTGCTACTTTCAGAGCGGTGGCAACTCTGGTAAAGAGAGACAGACACACACAAAGGCGGTGAGACAGGCAGAGCTGCGGGGCCCTTCTGTGTCACAGCAGCAGCCCTACAGAGGAGTTCAGCACAAAGGGCGTCGGAGCAGCCTTGGGCTTTTCCTGCCACTGCAGTGTGAGGATAATCCTAATGAAGGACAGGCTGTTCCCACCTATTCCAGGGCTTCTCCCCTCCCCCTTCCACATCCGTCTCCAATTTAAAGAAAGACCAAACAGGGGAAAGGGTGAAAGGGGCAGAGCCTGGGTCATGGATCATGCCAGGGGCACCCGTCACCTGAAGGCAGAACAAAAAAAACAGCAGGGAGCTCCACTCACCAGGGAACTGGTAAGTGTAGCCAGGTGCAATGCCAGTGTAACTTCGACTCGCATAGGTGGCAGCTTGGAAGCCTGGATAACCTGGGGAAGAGAAAAGGGCTCTGTTAGTGCAAGCTGGCAGGGTCTGTGCCCTCAGTGCCTGGCTGCTCACGAGCAGCATGAGCATCCTTTGGCTCTAGAAAGCAGAAACAAGGAGAACAGCAGAAACCCCAGGAGAGTTCTGGGCAGAGCACACAACACGTGCGAGCCTGCAGAGGAGTTCTAGCAGGCCTGTTTAATTTTTCCTCGCTCCAAACATGTAAGGACATGGAGGTTTCCTTCTCGAACTCACAGCTTTGCAGGCTAAGGCTTTGTGATGCATCAGCTGGATTTACAAACGGGAGATCAGGGAGGAAGGGGCATTTGAACGGCTGAATAGCTCTGAGTCACTTTTGCACCAGAAGTGCTGGGGAATGCAGGCAGAGCGCTTCTGCCCAGCTCCAGGTGGGAGGGCAGCTCCTGCCGTTCCCGGGGAAGCTGACCACCTATCCAGAACAAGCCTCTGAGAATGCAGGGCACTGACTCAGAGATGAATATTTGATTTGAGATCTCCAAAGACATGAACATGTGGATTTCCCAGTGACTCAGCTTGGGCCTCGCCACTTTAAAATTCAGATGGCTTAGAAAAGGCAAAACCCAAAACCACAGGCTGGAGATTTATTTTCCTTCAATAAGTCAAGTGAAAACATTAGGGAAAAAATGCCCTTTTGGGGGTTTTGTTTCAGTGACTAACTGCTACTCAGCAGGCTTAGCACTGAGAGCCAGGCTCAGTACACCCTGCCCAGCAACACCAGTGATGATCCTGAGCAAACAGTGCTCTTGGGTCAGCTCAGGCCTGGCTCAAATGAATGTGGGAAAAGAGAGAAGCCAGGAACAGCACCCGTGCTGGAAGGATCATAACTGACTCTCAGATCCAGGCATGAGGGTTTGTAGACCTGGAAGTGCAGGCTACCATTGGCTTTTTTTATCCTTTTTTAATCTTTTCTCTGAACACATTTGCCTTGGAAGCATTGACATGAAACCCAGCCTGCTTGTCACCAATTTCTCCTTACAAGATAGTCCCACAATAAATGTATAGCTTTCCCTGCAATACCAGATAATTCCTGTATCTGAGAGGGAGGAAACAGAGCGAGACAAAACTGAACTAGAACTTAAAGGGCATTTTCACAGTCCTTAAATGGCAGTGGAGACATTTATACAGACCACTGTTTCAAGTGGAAGTTGAGGGGCTCTTTAATCAACTAATTAATCAGAAAACCTGCAGAAGAGTGGGAGGAAGATGCCTGGGCACAGATTACTCCACACTCAGCTCTGTGGTTACATCCTATTCCACGAGAGGCATTAAGGAATTACAGTCCATGTGCTACGGCACTGCGGGACCCTTGAGGAGCTGCCGAGGAGCAGAGCTGGGCCGGGCCAGGCCGGGCCGGCTGTCGCAGGGCAGAGGTGACGCGTTTGCAGTTTTTCCAGGTGCCACCAGAGGGCAAGTCGCGATCGCAAACAGGTCCCGGCTCCCCCGCAGCGCCCCCGGCCCCGCACGGGGAGCGCTGCCCTTGGCCGCCCCGCCGCTCCCGGAATAAACCTCTAAGCTGCTGCCTGGCACGGCCGGGAGAGGGGGGAGAGCTGGGGAGCTGTCCGGGGGCTTACCCAGCATGCCGATCCCCAGCATGAAGGCATCCATCCCGTAAGGCATGACTCGGGACCGCCCTCGTGCCGAGCCCGTTGGGGACATCACCTCCTTCGGCTGAGCTTTTTTACACTCCACCTGCCACAAGAAAGTAAGGATCAGGCTTGGCTGTCCTGGGCACAGGACACTGCCACAGAGCACAGGCAGGCCAGGCAGGGCTGCCTGTCCCAGCTCCAGCCACCGCTGTCATCCCGCTCTGCTGCCCTTCCCTGCCATCCCTGTCTCCTGCCTGCTCACTGCCAGCCTTCCCTCGCCCTGCAGCCACCAGTGAGGAGCTCAAACACTGCTTTTCTCCTCCTGGTGCTGCCCCTGACGTTCTGCCTGGCTCTGCACCAGGGCCTCAAAGACTAATTTTCATAATTTCTGAATAAAGGTAAAACCTGCCCCCTCCCAGGCCACCATGAGGTTTTGTGTGATTTCAGAACCTCCAAGCACGGCACAATTCCTTGTTACAGTTAGCTCTCCTCCTTGAGAACTCACTGCTGTGCTGGTTCACCCCCCACATGACAAGTTCCTTTCCCACACTGACTGCTGTGATTTTGGGGAAAAGACTCAATCCAACTCCCCACTGCAGAGAAAAATGATTTGGGAGCCAAGTTCCTCACACCCTGCCCCTGTGCCACTGCCCTGCTCTCTCCAGTGCCTGTGTCCCTCCTTCTCCAGGTTCTGCCCCAGACACTCACCATCTTGTTGTTGATCTCATGGAAGTGGATTTCACACACTTTTTCCACAATGTCTTCACTTTCAAATGTGACAAACCCAAACCCTGGAGAAAAGGCAAAACCCCTTGATCAGGTCAGAGCTCTCACAGTTTGCACCCGCTACCCACAGCCTTTTATTGGCAGGAGAGGAGGACAGTACAATCAGCCCTTTCTAAAACAGCTGTCACTCATCTTCCCTCTCCAGCAAATCCTGCTTTTATGCACAAGAACAGGACTATCCCCTTATAGATTCTCCTTTCCTCCTCATCCTGTACTTCCCACCCTCTCTGAACCCAACAGCTCTCAAAACCAGATTTGGGTGTTTTTTAGACTCTGCTATTTGCAAGGCAAAGCACATGGCTGGTAACACTGGGGAGGATCCAGGCGGACACTCACACAAAGAGTCGGTGGGGGAACCAACAGCTGCTTGCCAGGACATCACCATCCTCACTAAATGCACCCCACCAGCAGCAGCACCCTGCAGTTCCCTCGGCAGGCACTGGCCATAAAGCCTCGTGTGAGCAGGCACATCTCAGCAGTGCAGCTGCACAGAGCGAGGCAGACGCAGGCACAGCGATTTGCAAGGTTTCACCAAAGTGAGGTTCGTATCTGGGGTAAGGCAGGACAGCGTGTTCCTGGCCCCTGGCCCACGCTCACACCTCCTTTCTCTCACCAACCCCTCTGCTGACAGTTTTGGCAAAGCCCAGCTCGGGTGGGCAGACTGAACTCTCAGCTGACTGCAGCCGTTTCCGGAAAACTGAGGCAGGTGGGAGGATGTCTAAACTTGCTGTACAAGCAAGCTGGGATTAAGCAGAGCTTTCTGCTTTCCAGAACTGGCCAATTCCATGGTGCTTTAAAATAACTTTTAAAAGCAGATGGGGATCCAATGCCCAGAACCCAACCTTTTCTCCATACTGCCAGAAGCATTTCTCCATAAACTCCTCTGTCTGTCTGTGCCCAGGTGGTTTCACACCGTTGACCTCAAGACCCAGGAGCAGAGCAGCTCAGGAATGCAAGAGCAAAACCCTGATGCCAAAACCAGCCCTGAGCCCCATCAGGCCCTCACTAGGCCTGCTGTGCCCTGGGCTGAGTCCCTCGCTGCCAACACAGTGGCTGGCAGCTCTCCCTGCTCCTTCCCAAACAACTCTTTAATTGGACCAGTGACTGGGAGGTACCCAAGGTACCTCCCAGCAGGAACAGGGGTTAACACTTCTTCCCCTTTAAGATGAAGCTGGAACAACATCCAAGGCCTGGTAGTCAGAGTAGATTTAATGGCTTTAGAAAAAAGCAAAAACCTGAAGGGCACAGAGAGTGTTCCCTCGCTGCTCTTGGGGCAGAGGTGCTTGGAAGTGCTTCAAACAACACACACGACAGCAGCCAGCACAGGGCTGCTACTGGCACTGATTGGGAAGAGGCAGTTTGCAGGTTAAGTTGTGGCCAATAAATCTCCGAGTTGGATGCAAGTGTCGAGCCCTGCCACGCCACCAGGTAGTCGGTCTGAGGACTCACCAGGAAGGCAGAAGGCAAGGATGGCCATGGGTGGGCTGGGTCTGGATGGCACAAATAGTACAGCCTTGCTCCCATCCTGTAACCAGACTCCACCAGCAGAACTCGGGTAAGAAAAGGTGACCTGGGAGCACAAGCGGGCTCCGGGCCGAGGAAGGGGCGAGGAGCAGGCACTCTTCAGGCTCTCGTGTCAGCTTTCCCGGAGCTCAGATTACTCGGGACAAGGTAAGACACACACTGCAGGCTGGAGCCACGGAGGTGAGCGGGCAGGGGAGGGGGCCATCTCCTCTCACATATCTGCAACTCGGCGAGTTTACAGCACAGGAAACGCACTGGACAAAAGCTCTCTGTGCTGCAAGGGCTGCTGGTAAAGGATGCAGATGCAAAAGAATGGGGCGACTGGAGGCAAGATAAAGAGCAGCTGCGACCTGCATCCCCTGCTGCTGGGATACCGACCCCTCCCTAGGCCAGGCAGGAGGCAGACCCTCTGCAGTTCCCTCTCCTAAGGCCAGAAGGCTGCTCTCACCTCGGTGTCGGTTGGTTGTTTTGTCGAACATCAGCATCGCATCGTCCACCTGCAAAGAGAAGGGCTGCGATCAGATTATTGCTGCTGCCACACGCGTTCTCCAACACAACTGTGCAGAGCTTCCTGGGCCTCCCCAAACCTGAAGGGATCAAGAGGAGACCTCCTGTCCCCTGTAAGGAAACATGGTACACACACAGAGCAGTCACCACACCAGGCACTTCCCTGAGCCACAACCAGCATGGTCCCCCCACCAGCCCGGGGCAGGTGCTGCCGAGCTGAGCCCCTGGCAGCAATCGACCCCGATTGTTTGCCTGCAGCTCCAGCCGGGGGGCAAGGAGCAGGGAAGGCATTGTTCCCAAATCCCAGCCTCAAAGGAGAGGAGAATTAAAGGGGGGGAGAGAAGCAAAGCTGGAGAGGGGAGAGGAATAAGGGGCCTCCCAGCGACAGGGGAAGCGGAGGCCTCAGACAACAGAGCCTGCCTGGGAAAGCTGGGAAGCGCCCCCGCCCCCACCCCAGAGGAGCCTTTCCTCTAAGTGAGGTTTCCCACTGCTGGAGGCTGTAATTAGAGCAAATTTACTGCAAGGCCTGAGCAGGACTGCCTTCCCGGGGGGAGGGGCAGCCGGATCCCATCCCCCAGCCGGCCTGGGGTTTCTCTCCTCCCCAACGAGCACATCACCGCCTGGTGCCACTTTTCCCCCCATCTTCCCGCGGGTGCTGCCTTGCGGGGCTGCATCCAAACCACTCCACGGGTCAGGCCGAGCAGGGTTAAAAAATACACTTCAATCCCCTCCGTGTAAGCCCCAGTGTAAACCTGTCCCACTGACCCATCCCTCCTCTCTAATACCACTGCCTTAATCCGATTATGAAACTGGACGTGCAAGTGCTCAGGGGAGGTGGCAGCAGTCTCTGGCCAGCAGCTGCCTTGGCCCTCCTCCTCCTCCTCCTCCTCCATGTGAGACAGCCGCTCCCCAGGCAGCAAGCCCTGCACGCCCCCAACTCCACAGGACTGCTCCCTTGCCTCATCCCGGGAAGCATCTGCATCGCCGCCTTCTCCAGAACAGCCACTGGTGAGGGCAGAGCTGCCCCTACCCTGGCACAGGCAGCCAGGAGCTTCGCCTGTGGAGAGCTCACAGCCCCTGTCAGGGAATGGAGAAGATCCTACTCTCAGCCCCTCAGGACAACATGGGACACCTGGCTCCACCTCAGTTCCAGGGGGATGGAAGGAGCCCTTGCTAACGTTTCCAGTACCATCATAAGCAGACAGAGACCGTATTTGATGCCCTTGGCCTTGTCTAACACATCCACTCCAGGTGACAACAGACAACCTGGCTCCTGCTCATCTCACACTCTTCCTGTCCTGGCTCAGCCTCCCTCAGCCAAGTTAACTAACACCTGAGAAATGTGCCAGGCATCCAAGCTGGAGATATGGGGGACATAAGACTTCAGACAGATCGGAAACAACTCCTCAGCAGCTTCCCAAGACACAGCTAAGGAGATGGGCACTGGGGGCAGCTCATCACGCTGCCAGTTCCCCATTACCCCTTGCTCCTGCACCTGCACCATTTCCCTTCGTGGTGCAGCACTACTGTGCCATGCTGGGGGCAAACCTGATGTTTCAAAATTGTTCAAGAGGTTTTATTGTCTGGGTTTGTTCATTTTAAAATCTAAATCCATTCCTCCACCCGGTTCACCAAATGGCTGGGAAAAGAGCTGCCCCCCTCCCCAGTAAACACTGGGAGGAAGCTGTGTCAATGGCACTCTGAGGCAGTGCCCCTCCCCAAGACTTCAGCTCAGGTAGCTGGAGAACACAAACCTGTCACAGTGAGAGACGGCACAAGAAAAAAAACCCCAGTGCTGATGAGCAGAGTCCTGCTGCTGACTTACTCTGCCTGACCTGCCCTCCTCTTCTCAGAGCCTGTGAAGCAGGAGCAATTCCAAGTGGCAGAGCCCAGTGCACATCCACACAAACCCACGGCACAGCAACGTCCTGGGCAATGGCCAGGCACTGCCGTGGTGCTCGAGCACTCAAGAGCTGGGAGATGTGCAACCACTTCCTTCCAAACCACACACCATATGCAGTCAGAGCTGCAGCCTTCCTCTGTCTAATACCTAATATTCTATGACCTGAGCTTTTTTCCTAAGAAAATTTTTTTGAGATCAGGCATCTAAGAGGCACCCCAAAAACGTGCTCCCCTTGCAAAAACATATTTACTATAATACACGTGCTCTGAAAGCTGTTTCCTGCTATAAACTACACCTCAGACAGATACCTAGGTGTCTATACACACAGTATGTGAAATAATCTCACCCTGCTCAACACCAAGGCTACAACTGATGGGATTTTATTGCCATTAAAACCCACCACGGGCATCTTTACGTCTCCTCCCAGGGGTGGCCTCAGCACAAACCTCTTGCCGTGGCGGGGAGGGGATAAAACATCTCGTACCAACGCACCCAGGGGACGGAAGCACCACATCCAGCACCCACCACCACCGCAACCAACAACAACCACATACACACACACACACCCCTCCCTCCTACTCTCCCCTTCCCGGCTGGGCCGCGCCAGGCCCCAACAAAGGGCGGCCGCCGGCGGGGCCGTCGCGATGGCAACGCGGCCGCCATGGCAGCTGGGGCCCGGATTAGCAGCTCACAAAGCCGCCCTGCAGCGCTTCGATGCCCCGTGGCCTGTGATGGAGGTGCGGGAGGGCACCCAACGGGGGCCTCTGGCCCCCGTTGGGTGCCCTCCCGCGCCTCCATCACAGGCGTGTCGTCATTCCCGGGGGAGTCGGACATGAGTCACCAACCTGTCGGAACTCAGGTTGCTCCAAGCCCTACCCAACCCGGCCTTGGACACTTCTCCAGGGATGAGACAGCCACGGCGTCTCTGGGCAAAACCGTGCCAGGGCCTCACCACCCTCACAGCAAAGAATTTCCTGCTAATCTCCAATCTAAACCTCCTCTCAGTCCGAAGCCATTCCCCCCTTGTCCTGTCGCTGTGTGCTCTTGTAAATGATCGCTCCTGGGAACCTGGTACTTTGAGGCTGAGGAATCAAGACAGGATAACCTGGTGCTCCTTGCTCTCTCCTCTCTAGATCCTAAGTGTTCCCATGCCTCCCCAGGACAAGCAGGAGGAAAGAGGAGTGATTTTTCTCCTGCCAGATCCTAGAAAACTGTGGGGCCACTTGGAAGAAGAGTGAACAGAGTTACAAAGCCCTTTCTTCAGAGGGTGAGTCCTCCAAAGAAATGCTTTAAAAGGGCATCCTTAGCAATTCCTTTTCACACAGTCCCAATCCAATTCCAGAAGTAATACTGAACCCAAATGACTTGGAAAGTCTGTCTGAAAAAATATTTTCTAAGATGAGGATAACACAACTGAAACTTCAGCACCTCTCACTTAAAGATGCCATAATGGTAAATGATCCATCCAGCCTTGGCCAAAAGGCCTGGGGTTTTTTTTAAAGGTTTAATCCCATTCTAATATCTTTCAATCTTCCTGTTTCAGTCCCAGGTATCTGCAAAGAGGAAGCAAATGGCAGTCTCATGCAGATGTAAGAAAATAATAATTTCCAACACAAGTTCTATGAGAAATGTTGGATGCACTTTCAAAAGGGTAGATCTTGAAAGTTGAAAAGATTCAAGCAAAGCGTTTGAAGAGATGGGCACCTTCCACCTGAACAGCAAACAAAAATGGCTGGGCTGGTCCTAGAAGGAACCACGACAACATATTTGCAGAAAAGTCAGGCAGAAGAATAATAACTGCTGACACAGCTTCAATATGGAAAATAAAAACCAAACTACCTAGAAACATAAAATAAACTATGTAGAAACCACTTGCCCATCCTGCCAAGAGGGGGCATTAGCAACTCTGCAAGGTTCTCCCAGCTACCAGGCTGATTCCAGGGAGAAGGATGCATGGACACAGAGCCTGGATCCAGGGAGCAGGTCTGCTGCACCCACACGGCACCACGAGGACCCTCCTCACCCCACTTTGCAAACCTGCTCTCAAAACTCTGGGAATGAGACTCGTCCAAGGGAACAGAGACTGCTCCGTATGCCACAGGTGAGCAGCACAGCCTGTCCAGGTGTTCCTGCCCACTCCCACAGGGGCACCTGGCAAATATCAGATGAACCCCAGAAGACCCGAATGACCATTGCTGCTACAGTGTTTTTGGCTATGTGCCTACCAGATGCGGAGCACAGAGAACCCTTTGTTCCAGAGGCATTGTTACCACAGGCCAAACTGCCTCCTGCTGCAAGAGAGGTGATCAGATTCCCCTTCTCCTCCCCTCCCCATCTGTTCACTGCAACCATGTTACGCGTGAGAATTTGCATAAATTGCCCTCTGATCTGTGGAAGAAAATCCAAAATCCAGTTTGGAAATCCACAGCAGGTTGACAAGTAGCTTTGATCCCTGAAATTTCCAGAGAGCGGCAGATTAAGGATTAATTAATTAACATTCTCCCGATCCAAAGTGAGGGAAATCATGTCCACCATAAGCACAGAAACAAGTCTTCCATTACAGACATTCCCCATCAGTATCTGAAGGTTCTCCCATTAGTCAGCCGGGAAACTCATTTCACATACCCAAGTCAACCACACCATTCTTCTGGCATGTGCACATGAATATGTATTTGTGACAGACACACAAACCCTCATCAGATTCAGACCCTTGGATACTGTGGTTTTCTCTTGTCGGGACAGTACCAGAGTGATTTCTCAGAACCTCTCAGGCAAAGGGTCCAGAATTTGGACGCAGTATTAGATGGCAGCCTAAAGGTCATAACCCTCCTCAGACCTCAGCAGATCTTTTTTCTTGTTTGCTTCCAGGGTATTTTTAGAGAGCAGATCTCTCTCTGGGCACGAGCTGCCTCACAAGAGAGGCTGAGCCCTCACGACCGACTCATCCACATACACAGATCACCTGCAGGCCCAAGGAGATGCAGATGGGGTTGAAGCGCTTTCCAAGCACCCTTGGTGCCACAACTGATTAGTGAGTCATGCAAAGACGTCATTGTGAATGTTATTTCCTGCACTGCTGCTTCACGAAATGCAAAAGCACACAACAAAACTGTGAGTTCAAACACCTGATTTGGGTCCAGACCCCCGTTTCTTCCAGGACCTCTGAACTTCTAGTTTCTGGAAGGATCAACTTCTCTTCTAATGACAAACAAAAGACTGGCTTCACCAAGTTAGAGCAGGGCTCTGCCTTGCCCAACAGCTCTCAAGATATCAACCAGCTACAGAAGACTTTGGAAGAACATAAAGACAAAGCAAAGATATTACCATGGACCCCAGAATACTCCATCATCTTCCAAGCTATTTGTGATCCTGGCATTTCCTGAAATCAAAGGGTGTCTGTGTATTTAAAAACCTTCCAGGAATCTGCCCAATCATTTTGGAGCCTATGCAAATTTTAGCAACAACATCCTGCAGCAAAGATCTCACGGTATAGATAAGTTCCATGACAAAAGACCTTATTTGTTCTTAGCCTCCTCCTATCTTGAAATTTATATGACTTTCTCTACCACAAAACTTCATCACATCAACTCTTGAAATAGAAAGATGATCTGCATTCTTTCAGTTTTGATTTGACACAAATAACCTTGTTTACAAGATCAGAGACCCAACAGCCCAAGAAATTACTCCGACGGACAACCCCTTTTCCTCCCCAAAAATAATACAGAACATGTTCCCACAGGTTGAAGTAGAAAAGGAGGAAGCTGTGACTTGAACTCCTCTGGCATTCTCATACATGTTGAACTAGACAGAGGACTAGCTGTGCCTGAGGTGGTAGTGCAAGGTACCTTCCTCCTCTCTTCCTGTTTCAGGTTTCAGTGAGGGTGGTAGCCTGAATCTAGAGAGGCTGTTGAAATACTTCCTTGTGCTGTCTAGAGATCTCCAACACCATCCAACTTAAGCCAAGACACTTAGCTACACATGCTGTGAATGGAAGTCTTTCCAGGACTTCTGTCCTACAGTTGAAAAAATAATCTCCTTTAGAAAGCATGTGCGTGGCCTGAGCTTGCATCTCAGAGAGATTTGAGTTTTGGAACCAGAGAAGTGTTTCCTAGAGATCCCACTACGTACAAAGCCCCAGCAGCTGCACCTGACAGCTTGAGATCCCTTCTCAGTCTCTCTCACTGTATTAAAAAAAAAAACAAACCTTTGTATTTTCTCCTTCAGGAAAACAGCAGCCCATATTTTTTAGTCACAGTTTTGGAAGAGAAAAAAAAAAATGAAGCGATCCCTCTTTGAAGCAGAGAAGCTCACACTGTATTTGGGATCCTCTTTGAAGCTTCACCTTTTGTGCCTGTTAAAACCAAGTATTTTGATATGAAGAATTGGGGTGCCAGCCTCTCCCTTTCTTCCTTTATCCCTAAGTAATACTCATGGATTTCCTCTTCACACATTTCCATCTTTCTTTTGCCACTTCCATTTTACAAAGCTGAGAGAAGGTTTTAGAGACAGCAAGGAAAGAAAACAAAACAAAACAAAAATAGGAGAGGGAGCGGAAATGCCAAAATAGAAAAGTCAGACTTGGGAATTTTGTTTTATGAACCAGAAAACCATTTCCTCTGCAGCCCAACTAAATCCCCATTTTTTTTCCTGCTAATGGACATATGAGGTGTGTTGCTTCTGACCCAAGATGCACCAACATGAGCTACCTTGGTAGACTTGAGAGCTGCAGTTCACGGATTTGGACTGGAGAGAACATTATGATAATCTAATTTGACCTCATCTGTTCTGCAGGCCATAGCACTTCCTCCTATAATTCCTTCAGCATGTGCATGCTTTCTGTCTGGGCTAAAACGTATTTTTCAAAGGCATCTATCTAATTTAAAGGCCTTAAGTGGTGGCAAATCTAACACACACTTAGGCTTGTGGCCTGAGGGTTACCTAGAAGATAACCTTCATGCAAAACCTATTCAGCAGCCTGGACTCCCCTGCCCTCAGAAGCAGAGGATGATCTCTCCCTGAAGCTGAGACCCAAACTGAGCTTCCCACTGGATTCTCCAAGATTAACTAAAAATTACCCCCGGGAACCTGGTACCTTGAGCCTGAGGAATCAAGACAGGATAACTTGGTGCTCCCTGCTCTCTCCTCTCTAGATCCTAAGTGTTCCCATGCCTCTCCTGGACAGGCAGGAGGAAAGAAGAACAGTTCTTCTCCTGCCAGGTCCTAGAAAACTGTGGGGCCACTTGGAAGAAGAGTGAACAGTTACAAAGCCCTTTCCTCAGAGGGTAAATCCTCCAAGGAAATGCTTTAAAAGGACATCCTTAACGATTCTTTTTCACACAGTCCCAATCCAACTCCAGAAGTAATACTGGACCTAAATGACTTGGAAAGTCTGTTCTGAAAAATATTTTCTAAGATGAGGATAACACGACTGAAACTTCAGTACCTTTCATTTAAAGATGCCATAAATTGAGATGAAAACCACAGTCAGGTGCCCAGAGCACCTCTAAAGAAGGGATCCTGGGAGACTTCTGAAACCTGGAAGGCCCAAAACAGCCACCAACAGAGCCTGTGTATCAAAATCACATTCTCCATGAGTCACATCTGAAGCTGAACACAACAGGCCTTTCTTAGCCCTACAAACCATCAGAGCACATTCAGAGCTCAGAATCCCAGAGCTGAAGGCCACAGAGGCTTTCCTCTGAAACACACTTTCCCACTGATCCTGCCCCTCAGCCATACCAAGCTATCTACTGGAGAGAATCTCAGGAAACAGTTCTCCTGGCCTTGGGTGAATTATTTGAGGCTTATTCTGGAAGATGGTTCCAGGCCAGGACTGATGCTTTACACACGAGCTCTAAGGGGTCTCTTCAGCTGAAGTGAACAGATGAGTCAGAAAACTGCCCCAAAAACTGCAAGTCAATCTGCCCAGCCCCTGACCTCTCCCCACGGAAACTCCCCTGAGCCAGGAGTCCAGCTGCACCGGCCCCGTGCACACTGGGAGCACAGGATGTTGTCCGGGATGCTGGTATGAATCGCACCGAGCTATGCAGAGCTCTCCCTTCTGCCCAGGCCAGAAAACAATCTGACACAACCCGTTCTTGCCAGTCTCTGATGTCAGGACACCTCTCAGCACATGACCATTAAACGAGGAATGTAACAGCACAACACCCCAAAAGAACTGGGAAGGACTGCTCAGAGCAGAGCAGCTCTAATTGCCTGCGAACCGAGTGCCGCATGACATGCTTCTGCTTCAAATTAACAGGGACACAGTGAGGTTAAAAAGGGACTATGCCCAAGACATTTTGTTGTCCTATCAAATACATCCATCAGCAGGGCAGGAGAACTTGCAAGTCAAACAACCTTCAGGTACATAGACACCACACCACCTTTAGTGGTGGCACCTTCAATGACACCATGTAAAACCCCTTGGGGACGCAACAGAGTTTGTTTATTTCTAATGGAAAATTAAACCACACAGAGCTAACAACTGGCAAACAGGGGACATCTGACCACTTTCTCTTAGGACCAAACAGAAATACAGAGTGCCACTCTGCACACCAGGACATGGAGATTTGACTTCAGAAGCTGAACAAAGGTTCTGAGCAAATACTTCTCCCAAACTTTCTGCCCAAAAATTTCAACAATATGGCAAAATTGGTTACAAAACTCCCCTTCCTTTCACCAATTAATGGGCCTTAACATAACATCACCCTTTCGCAGGATCTTTCAAAAGAAAATTAAATTAATACCAAAGCCTTTATGCCCACACACTGCAGTTCCTGTGGTACTTCCCTCCATATCCATGATGGTGTCAGCAGCGTTCTAGCCATGTTACTGCCCAACAAAATGTGTTTTCCCCCCAGCTGGGCAGGAAGATCCCAACAGATACAGAATCCAACACTGCCTGCCCCAAAGAGCAAATCCCCACACAGCACCACCAAACAACAGTGAAATAGTTGCAGTGTCCTGCCACAGTGACCGCATTGGGCACTTGGGTACAATCATCCCCTTCAGTTCCTAATCCCATTAAAAAATATTGGAATCCTTCAGTCTAATACTGTTGAGATCACTCCTGAGGATGCTGACAACCTCCTGATGCAGCTGAAAGGCCAAGACTAAGCCCCCTTCCTCTGATTCGGTCCAGGCTCACAGTTTGCACACCTGGATGTCATGGACCACGGCACAAGTGACTTCCAGCCACAGAAGCCCACCCTCCCCTGAGCCACCACCTGCCACAGAAGAGCCAGATCGACATAAGGGACAGTCAGAGTGCCAAGCTTTCTTTAAATATCCAAAACTTATACCACCACTTGCCCAAGACTCAGCAGAAGTAGTTTCAGGACCAAAAGGCTTATTTTTAATAAAGGATTATCAAAATACCAATCACAAGAAACTGGCCAAAATCAGAGGTTCGATGCTGCAGCCACTCTGTTAGGAGTGTCTACAAACTTTCCTCCAGTGTTTCAACAATCTGCAAATCTGTGAGCCACAAGAGGCTTCTGGATAGGGAAAACTGGAAAACCATTCCCCTCAGCCGAGGTACCAGCAACTCTGGGAACAAGCAGAAACTCTGTTTCAAATCACCACAGGGCAGGAGTCACTGGCTGTAGCCCCTACAAGGACATTACAGCCAGCCACGTCTGTAACTGACCTTCAATCTACTTAACCCTTGTAAAAGACTCACAAGCTCCTAATCCCGCCCCCACAGAAGTTCAGAAAACTCCTTTTGCCCCAGAAAGAACAGCTTTGATCCAACACCACTCAAGAGACTTACCTTCCCGAACTGCTCGAAATATTGTTTCACATCCTCCACAGTAGTGTTCACAGACAGACCACCCACAAATATCTTCTTCGTTCGGGTCACCATCTGGAAAAGGGAAGGACAGGAATTCACCAAATAAACCCAGAGCGAGCAGAGAACGAGACTCCAAAGGCCACTAACTCCCCTCCGCTGCCGGGAAGCACCGGTCCTTTTGCTGCAGCTGAGCTTCCCCCTTCTCAACGCCCTCCGGCCAAACACAACTGGCAAATTTGTCCCACACCAGGCTGATGCTCTCCCCCTCACACCACCCCATCCTACATGCCAGCACCCAGCCACCACCTCCTCAGCAGGCAGCACGTTACCAGCCTCTCCCCTCACTAACCCGCCACCGCTCCCTTGGCACTGGGACAGCACCCAAATGCATGGGGCACAGCTGTCCCCCCCCCAGCCTTGCCACTTTGCACAGCCACCTTGCTCCAGGTGACCCCAGAGGTGCCTGCTCTGCCCCCAGACAGGAGGCCTGCCAGCACAGGTAGGCTCTCCAGCCTCTACCCTTCCAGCCCACAGATTGCACAGCATCCAGTCCTGAATGGAACAAGCCTCATTTCACACCCATTCCCCAGACACTGAAGTGGAGCCCAGTCAACTCCCAGTTAAATGTCTTTTGCCTCTGCAAGAAGGCAAAGGGAAGATCCCTCTGTCACTTGTCACAGATGCAGCTGGGACAAGGAAGAAAACTAACTACCCTGAGAGGGGCCATGGCTGCCAGGCTGAGGCACACCGACATCCTTTGAACTGGCTCTCCAGCTGCATCCTCCCCTTAGCTGCTTGGCTACACCCCTGCTCTCAGAGGAACACATGGTCCTAATTACCCCAAGGAGCATAGGGCTAATCCGCAGCAATTCCCTGGCTTGGAGAGCAGCCCGTTCTAACACTAAAGCACCTTCTGTCACCAAACTGCTTAATGGAATTAACCCAATTCCTACCATGTGCTTCCTGGCTCCAGTTACTCGGGATACCTGCTCACCAATTGTTCTCAGTGCCTGAACCCCTTACTCCCCTCCCAGTGCCAGTCTCCTCTTCCCTCCCTGCTTCTTGACACAGCTTCTCCCCAGCTCTTTCACTCATGACAGCACTTGGAATAGAGACCCTAAACTTCAAAACTCACATCCAAGAGCCAAGTTAAAGGAAGACCCAAAGTCTGAAGGCAGCTTCCAGCCTGCTGCTGGCTCCTCAGTTAAAAGTTTCTAGCTGCACACCTGGAAAAAGTTCCTGCCACTGCACATTTCAATGCCAGAGCCTCCTATAGATAAGGTCCAACACCAAACTCCTTCTGCCTCTTCCAGTGCTGAAGCACACAAGGGCATTTCACAAAGTGAAATCCTTCTCCCCTTCCCTGCCATACACCTCTTCATACCCACAGGTGCACACACACGGCACTCTTCCAACCTGTATCCCAGCGCAGCACGGAGCTGTTCTGTACCTCCTAAGGCCTGGAACGTGCAAACACTTTCTGCAACCTTGGAAGGACTAAGTTCACCCTGGGCAGCATATAATCCACCAGCTTTAACTAGTGCATCCTAAAGTACGACCGAGGGGCCTCCTGGTTCCTCCAGTGCCACGCAAACCCCCAGGACTGTGCTCCAGGAGAGTCCTGAGCAAACCCCAGCGAGTGACTCTGTTGTGTGCACTGACAGCCTTGCACAGAGGGACAAGATTCACCACCACAAATCTCACCCCCTGCGGTGCAAGGGCTGCCTGCAGTGCTTACCTTGGGCTGTGCTCGGCGGGGGAACGCTACCTTCGGGTCAATCTGAAAGAGATGTGGGGAAGAACAGGTGAACATGCTTTTCCTGCCTATTTACAGGCACAGGGTTTCCTCCATGTGCACGGCTGTCTCTGCCCCACGTGGCACCTTGCTAAAAACCCAAGGAATCTACCTGAGGTGCATAAAATTGAGCTGGCTGCAGACATTTTTCCCTCTTGGTAAGGTGTAGGCCAGGGAGACTACAAGTCCCAGCATGCAGTGGTCCATCTCTGGCTGAGCGCTGGCCAGACGCACTGAGAGCCCATCACATGCTGGGATTAACAGGCTGGGCTGCACCCTCCCACTCGGCCTGCCCCTGGGTGCCCTGCATCACCAGCCTCATGGTAAAAGTGCTTTCTTTTGCCTTTTTGCTCTTACCCTTCACCTTGCCTACAAGTACAGAGTTCATCTGGGTAGTAACGGGACAGAGAAGAAGCAGTGCACAAATAGCCCAACATTTCATCCCTTCAAACACAGGGTGAAAGCCGTACAAGAGCAGACAGGATGGCACGAATTAACCCGAGGAGCCCCGGCTGCGGAGGCCGCGGCCGCAGGGAACGTGCTGCCCCTCTCCCCAGGCTGCGCCGCACACAAAGCCGCGATGCCTCCCTCCCTCCCTCCGCGGGCTGAGCCTCCATTGTGCCTGTTCAGCTTCCCTGTAAACCTGCTGCCGGCCGGAGCTGCCGGCCCCGCGCCGCCATCCAGGTGCCGCGCGTTCTGCTGGGCTCAGCACGGATGAGCCCATGCCTGCATTGGCCTCACACCTCCACCAGCACCACCACAAAAGCTGGGACAACACTAATGCAGCTGCAAGCCAAACACCCACAAAGCCTCCTCTCCTCCTCAGCCACCACCTCTTTCTTTATAGCCTATTTTTACAGCAACTCCTGAAAAGTTACATCACATCGGGGATGATCCAGACCTACAAATCAGCTTACAAAGACCTGTACTAAAGGCAGGTCTGGCTCATCCCTGCACTTGGACAGGCTGCAGCTGGGAGGGCAGCCCGGAGCATTGTCCCATCAGCCCGGCAGCTCCAACAGCCCAAAAGGAAGCTGTGTTTCTCCAGCTCCTCTCACTGCTTTGTTCAGCTTTCCAGCCTGGCTGCCCTCCCGTCCCGCATCCTTTCACTTGTCACACAGCCCCGGAGCTTGGCCCCCCTGTGCCCTTCCACCAGCTTCTCTCCCTGCCTTCCCCACCTCCATCCTGACTCACAGCTTACAACATAAATAAACTCAGCACGTAGGTAAACAGAGGCAAAAGTGAAGAGCACAAATAAACTCAAAAATAAACCTCCCTCCCCAAGCTCCAAGCGCCAGCAGATTAGCAAACCCTCTGGTGCCTCCCTGGGGCATCGGAACCGTCCAGTCCCTGCCCTCCCCTCCCCGCACACAACACCCCCCCCACTGCTTCCTGGCTAGTGCAGACACCCACAGCGAATTCTGAGGACAGGGGACGGCAGGAGACCAGGAGGTTGATGGCAGATAATAAGCAAAAACAATAATCTACTGTCTTTTACTTCTCAGCCAGTGTCATTCAGCTCCTGCCAATAAGATGCTTTCATACTCAGCAATGCTAAGCTCAGCCTCATTTTCTCATTACCCTGAGTGTGATCAACTGGGCAGAGATAACGTGTCCTCCTGGCTGGAGGGAGCAGGCAGTCATTTCACAAATTCTTCTGCACAACCAGCTATTGTTGCAGGTAGAGGGAGGCCGGGGTGCCCGACTGCGGGCGCAGCCCTGGGAACATGCGGAGGGGAGCGGGTTCAGTGCTGGATTCAAGTTACTCAAACTGGACTGCTCCTTGGTGGCTCGAGCCCTTCCTAATTAAAGCAAAAGCACTGGTACCTTATTCCCTCATTTCTAGTGTTAAAACAAATAGCTCTGGAGGAGTTGTGTTTCAGTGTCACCCACTGACGTAATGGATCCTTTTTACAAACCTAGATAGAAATCTGCTAAGAGTAAGAGCATTCAGAACTGCTCAGATTGTATCCAAAAAAACAAAACCCCAGATCAGGCTGCACTGAGTGGAAGTCACCTGAGCTCAAGCCACTTCCCCTTCACCCCACAAGGCTTTGGGGATGAGGAATACCACTGATGTCGCAGGTGTACCAGCAGGCCAGCCAGGTCCTCAGTACAGCTCTTCAGGCCATGTGTAGCACCATTTCATAGCTCAGGTCACATAACTCCTGTGTTAACCCAGCTGGTATCAGTATCCAAAAACATGGGGAGGACTGGGAAGGACCCAGGAGACCTCAGGACTGGGTTTCTTCGTTCATCACACCTCCAGCACTACCTCTGCCCCGCGGGTCTGCGCTGTCTGGGAGCTGCGAATTGTTCCCTCCACCACAAAAGACAAACCCAGCAAAAACTCAGCAACGGCAACAAAGAAACGACGGGGAGACCCAGCACTGCCAAGTGCTCTTCCCAGAGCTTGTAAAGAAGCAGTTCAAGGCAGCAGCGAGCTGCAGCTTTACAAAGTCACGCAAATCTTTCACCTTGAGACTGTAAAGCCAATTCTCATACCAAGTATTTTCAAAAATAACCCTGTAGCCTGCTCCTATCTAGCTTACAGACAAAGAGGAGTCTGAAAAGGACAAGGTTTTCCCAAAGAATCAGGCCAACCACCCTTTCCAGGGTAGGAAGAATCACAAAACAATGAAGCAACAAGTTGAGCAGACACTGTCTATCAAATGCTGCTTGCCAGAAGACACCAAGCCTCAAGAGAAGGCTGTCCTTACAGGACAGCCTTTTCCTGAAAAGTTTCATAAAACTCTAAATTAAGATTCAGATGAATTTCTGTCATTTAACCCACGACTCACGGCAGTGTCTTTCAGCTCAGCATGGAAAAGGCATATGGAGGCTTCATGCACTACCACAAGACCAACCTCTTGTGAGCCAAAACTCCCCAAAACATCTGACACAGCTGAAAACCACGCTAAACAAAATTAAGAAGGAAGGGGGAAGAGGATCAAAGTTCCTAACAAAGGAAGGCCTTGGTAAAATTGCCCCCGCTCTCCATGCCGCGCCGGCGGGCCGAGCGGAGCAGATGCAGCAGGGAATTTCAATGGCTGGCCGGTCCCCACGCGCCCTGCGCCATGAGGCCCTTCTGTTCTCCTGCAGAGCCCACCGTCCGCCCCTGCCCTGCCCTGCCCTGCCCATCTCTCCACACCCTCGTTGGCCACACTGTGGCCTCCAGAGTGGCTTCACACAGGCAGCAGTGGTGGTTCAGGAAGAAAAATGGAGACAGCGTGTTTCACCTCACTCCTAGCCCCAAAACACTCTCAGGGTGAGTGCTACAACAGACATCCATCACTGGCCTTTCCAAGATGGGTCTATGCCCACAGACTCACGACAGGACTAGCTGAGCAGACACTGTGTTTACACAGGCTAGTAAAAAAAAAAAAAAAGAGAAAAAAAGAAAGCCCTGGGCCCTCCTCAAAAGACTTTAGTGTAACCTTCCCATAAAGCAAAACTCACTTTATATCACTACTGAAAGGAAGAGGGCTGGGAGTCCTGGGGACCCAGCCTCAGCCAGGAAGGCTGGGGTAGGTTTAACCGGGAGCTCCCGTGGGGAGGAAGGACCTGTGCACATCAAAGGGAGCGATCCAGGCAGTTAAACAGGAACAGACATAAATCTCGCTGCAACTCACGCCGTAAACCCTAAGAAAGAGGGTCTCGCTCTCCCGCCCTCTCCCTCTGCCAAGATAAAGGCTAGAACGCCTGAGCCACGCGCTGCAGGAAATAAAGTTGTGCATTTGGACTCCTCGGCAGCCCATGCCCAGAGCCAGAACATCTCCCCTCACCGTGCCAGCCCATCGCAGCCCCCACCGCTCCCCCATCCCTACCCTCACCTTCACCCCAGGGCAGCAATAAGGAAAAGGAATTCAGGGGAGGGCAAGTCACTAAAACTAAAGAGAAGGGACCTCCCACTCAGATACCTCACCCCCACCCCTCCAAACAGCTTGCACATCTCCCAAGCACCACAGATTCACAAGGCAGGACCCACCACGATACTCCACTAGCTCAGGGAGCCACCAAAACCTTTCTGCTGGCCCAGCCAGGCTTCTCATCAGACCCCACTTGCGGAGCGAGGGCTGGAGCCGCAGGCGCTCCAAGAGGCCGGTGGTGGCCCACATGGGCGGGCACTGGCCACACTCGGAGACAATAAAGTCCTGAACCTCCATGACCGTTACAAAAACTTCGCCTGGGGAAACCACAGGAGAGTCTCTGGGGTGCACAGCACGAGGGCCCTCTGCCAAAGGGGGGTGCACACGCCACCATGGCCGGGGAAGCAGGGCCTGGGTGCTGGGGAACAGCACCCCTGGGGAGGGAGCAGTGCTCGGCAGCACACGGAGCAAAAGGGCGGCTTCCCTCTCCCCAAACGCAGCCGCATCCGTTCCCCGGGGCAAATCCTCGCCCCAAACGCATTCAGGTGTCCCAGTTCCGAGAGGGCCACGGTCACTCCACAGAGGGGCCTTACAACCGATGAGCAGGAGGAAAACCATCACCAGGATCCACAAATCTACACCAGGAATCAGCCCCGGGTTAACGGCGAGCCCGGTGCTCGGGCGGCAGCTCAGCTACCCGCCGGCAAGTAGGATAGAGAAGGGGACGATCGATCCGGATCAGGAATCAATAGTTTACAACCTCTAACTGGAAATCAAACACCGCAATCGACGGCTGCTCCGAGCACAGCCGCTCTGCCGGCAAATGCACCCCTGAGATGAGAGAAGTCATCTCACCGTCTTGGAGTCCAGTTCATGTCTGGATTGGGCCAGGACCTTGTCGACGCCAGCCTGGTCCATGAACGTGACGAACCCGAAGCCCCTGAGGCCCGCAGCCCAGGCAGGAGAGGGGATGCGGAGAGAAGAGAGAAAGTTGGTTAAAGTGGCGGCCGGGCCGCGGCGGGGGCGAAGGGAGGCGAGGGCCCGGCCTCTCACCTGGATCTCTTTGTCAGCGGGTCCCGCATCACCAGGCACTCCTTCACCTCGCCGAACTGGCTGAAGTACTCCCGCAAGCCCTCTGCAAGCACAGCGCCCACCGTGGGTGTCCCGGCCCGTCCCAGCCCCGCCGCACCCCCCCGGGCTCGGCCCCGGCCCCGCCACCCCCGGCCCCGGCGGCAGGTGCGGGGCCCCGCGGCGCTCACCTTGCGTGGTCTGCCAGCTCAGTCCCCCGATGAACATTTTGCTGCGGGAGGAAGGGGAGAGCCGTGAGCGGGGCCGCACCGGGGGGCCGCGGTGCCCCGCGGGGGTGGCGGCGGCGGGGCCGCGCGGGGAGGGGAGGGCGCGGATCGGCCATGTTGGCAGCGGCACCGCCGCCGCCGCCGCCGCCGCCGCCGCGCCTGCCCGGGCCGGGCGGCCGGGGCCGGGGGAGGGGGCGGCCGCGGCCGGGGCCGGGGGGGGGCGGTGAGGGCGGTCGGCGGCAGCCGCCGCGGCGGTACCAGGGGTCGTGCGGGGAGTCCGGGGAGGCGAGGCCGGGCTGGCTGCCGTCTGTCTCCATTCGGACCTCTTCTCCCTGCGAGGAGCGGCGCCGCACTCCCGGGGCAGATGAGCGCTGGAAAAGGGGCCGGACGGACAGGCCATGCTGCCCCCTCCCCCGACCCCTCTCCGCCGGGCGGGGAGGGAGCGAGGGAGGAGGGCCCGGCGGGCACAACCTGCCCGGCTCCTCCCACCCCCGCCGGCCCGCCGGCCGCCCTGCGCATAAAACCCGCCGGCGGCGCCGGGACCGAGCGCCGGGAGCCGCGCCCGCACCGCGCCGGAGGAGCGCGCTCGGTGCCGGGCTCGGCGGCGGGAGCAGCCCGGGAGCCCGCGGCCGCTTTGTCCCCGGCCGCGCCGCCCGCACCTGCCCCGGGGCGGCGGACAAAGGGCGGCGGAGCCAGGCCCGGCCCGCCGCGCTCGGGCTCGCCGCGGCGGACCCCGGACACCCCGGCCCGGTTCCCCCCGGTGTCTCAGCGCTGCCGACCGGGCGCTGGCACCGGGCGGGTTAAAGCCGGAGCGGGGGCGGCTCGGGACCGGCTCCTGCCGAGGGCGCTTCCAGGTCGGGACCGGGGCTGCCCTCTCCCCGGGACCCTGGCCGGGCAGGAGGGAGCAGAGGCGCCTTTCCGGAGCCCTGGTGCCTTCGTGCCCCCTGGCAGCCCGCAGCGACCCTGCGGGGGTCAGGGGCTGCCCGGCCCCGCACGGCAGTGCCCAGGCTGCAGGACCCCGGGCAGAGCTGCTGCCGGGCACGGCGGAGCCCCGCGGCACCAGGTACGAACAGCCCGGCCGCTCTCCTCTGCCCGCGGCTCACCGGGAGGGGGGTCGGGCTGGCCTCCAAGGCACCGCGCAGTTTTCTTGCTCATTTAGGCTGACAGACAGACTCGTGCCGAGCTCTACTGCCACACAAGTTCATCCACATGCTGCTTCTGGAGCAGGTCTGTGTGCGCTGCCTCTACTCTTGGGCAACCTGGCCTGCGTGGCTGGAGGAGCTCAGCGAGGAACAAATGAAATACCTGTAAAGCTAAAGTCAGAGAAGAGTTGTAACCTCTCCTGACTGCACCATGCATTGCTCTGGGAGGAAGTATTTGTTTGCATCTGTGGCATATTGGAACAGAGCAGTGCCCAAAACCTCCGGTGACAGTGCTGTGAGCCCCTCTCATGGCAAGGGGTTATCACAAGGTCCCAGGCATGTGCCGCTGTGCTGCCAAATACTCCCTGCAGGCATCTCTGTCTCCTTCCAGCACGAGTCCCTGTACCCTCTTACTGCCTAGAGTGGGTATTGACAGCTTAGGTCAGTGCCATTCTCATTTGACCTTTCTTCCCCTTCTCTCATGACTGCTCTTCCACATGCCAATACACCTCATTTCCCTACTGGAGGGGAACCAGGACACCTCTGTTTTAACAATGCTTTGCAATAGTATCTTTCATTACATGGGCTCATCCTGAGGCTGCAACTCTTGAGTTAAATTCATCCTCTGCCCACTAGCTCTGCCAAACCACCATTCACCCACTCCATTTCCTGAGCTGGGTCAGTGACACCATCCTGTCTCCTGGCCCTGTGCTTGGGCACAGCAACACACTCAACACCAGAGACTTGGTAGCCGCCCCTGGGAACTGAGCTATACAGCATCCCAGCTCCTGCTGCCACTGGTCCAGGCTGAGCTGGTTCTCCAAAATAACCCACTCATCATTCCACAGGGCTGAAGTCACCACTTTGGGTGGAGGTGCCCTGAGGGGCAGCCGGGCTGGTGCAGCAGGAAAATATAAATAACAACGTGCAGAGGTGGTACTGCAGCTGGCAGTGACGGAAGGGCTGCACGGCCAGTGGAAGCAGCGGTGCTGAGGCAGCATCCCGGCCATCTCCTCTTGCATGTCCTGGGAAACCTGGACAAAGCTGGGCTGCCAGAAAGCTCTGCTGCTGTCTGCCACGCTGCCCAGGCTCACGGCTGCTGCGCTGCCTCCTGGCACCTGCTCTCTCCCATTTGGAGGGCAAATGCTCCAGAGGGGGAACTAATATTTTCAAGTCACCTGGCACAGGTTTTATGCTCCATAATTGTCCAGCCTAATCACACGACTAATACTAATTAAACACAAGAAAGAAACAAAAGAAACAAGAGCCCAGAGTTGGACATACTAAAGGATAACCTCTCTTGGTTTGCTACCAGTGCATTACTATAATTTTAAATGTGTGTTATTTCTAAGACAGTACAAGTATAGCACTCTGAGGGACACAGTGTTAAAATGCCTCATTGTGTCTTCTTTTTTTTGCATTATGTTTATTATTTGATTTGTTTTTTCTTTGCCAAAATAACATTGGGGAAGGGAGAACAGGATCAATGTGAGTTTAACATCTGTGAACATCAGAGGAAAAAAATTGAGCCTTCAGGAGTATTTGGATGGAGGATGTGGTTGGACTTGCATCACTGGGAATGACACCATACCATGTAACTTATTCCGAGGTCGTTTCCAAAACATACACACAATATTTTGTATTTCCACCTTAGGACCCCAAAGTGCTTTGTAAGTACCAATTCATTTATCTCTGTAACTCACAAGACAGTGGGTCTCGAAAAATCTGTTGATTAGTGACAGTAGGAAGCTTTCCTCACGGAGAAGTAAATATATAAAACGTTCCAGACCTTATGATTGGAAAGATGATCTGCCGAATATAAAATAATGCAGCATTGTATTCCTGGGGCTGCAGACAGACAGCTGTAGTGCCTCTGTGGCTGCTGCTGAGAGGTTGCCAAACACCAGTGAGATTAACAAAACTGCTCAGTTTTCTTGCTGCTATTCAGTGTCTCGTGTGTGGTAGAGTGACACTATCAAAATCATGTCCACTTCCTGCTGAGGAGGATGATTGGCAAAGCTCTGCCCAGCACCAGTGGCAGACACTGGAGTTATTCATGGAGAGAGGGAGGTTCCAAAAAGTGGAGGTTAGGGGAGGGGCAGGGCAGCAGCCCTCTCCTTTCCTCCCTCATCATATAAGGCTTAAGGAGAGATTGTGTCTTGGAGACCTGTCTGTAACCAGGAGGTTTTGGCAGAGAGGTACTAGGACAAGTTTTGATTTTCATTTAGTTTGGACAGTTGATAAACAATTCTGAACTGGAATTCAAATCATTTTTGTAATACTTGCATTACAATGCCGACCATGCAAACCTGGAAGATATTAACTGTGGCTCCGTAGGCAGCCTGGGGGCAATGCCAGGCTCTGGCAGTGGCTTCCAGTGGTGCTTGCGCCTATTTTGGGAGGGATGCTGACCCTCTGGAAAGGCTGATGGCAAAGCACAAGGAAGCCAGGGGTGTCTACCTCGAGGGGAACCCACTGCTCTGCCACCTCCTGCCTGGCAGGAGCTGGCTTGGGGCAAGAGTCAGGCACACAGGGGAAGAGGAGCTATTTAGAGAAATTTAATTGTTTAGATTCCACTCAGGTGGGGGGGAGAGACAGAGCCAGCAACAGGAAGAGAGGAATGACTACAAAAGCACCAAGGGTTTCTTTACTTCATGTAGGAAACCTCACAGAGCAAGATTCACAGAGGGAAAACCAGCTACATGGTGCAGAGCATTGAGAACAGGGTGGGAAGTAACACAGGAGAGGAACAGGGCTGCAAGCAAGAGAAACGTAGGTGTGGGTGAATAAAGTGCAGGAGAAACGGGAGTAGGAAGAGTAAATAAAGACAACCAGGATAAGGTTGGAAGAAAGGAGTGAGGGAGGGGAGAGAAGGAGACCACCCCAATTACCACAAAACAGCAAGAGGGATTGGAGCCTCAGGGAAAAAAAAGGGTAAAGAAGTCTGCAAGGGATGGAAAATAAAACATCAAGAGAACTTGCAGCGTACTGAATTCAGCATAGGGATTCAGCATAAAACAGCAAAAAAGGAGAGGTCTCTGAAGGACAGTAGGAGATCGCAAGCTTCCACCCGCTGCCCTGGAAATGATGGCTAAGGGAAAAATCAGAGAGCCCTTCCTGCTATTCTCCCTCTCTCCAAGCTCTAAAAACTACTACACAGTGTCTAGTCTCCATGATCCTGTCTAAATCAGTCCAGCAAATGAGGGAGGAAGCCTCGACTGCCCAACTCCAGCACCGGGGCTGCTCCGTGCACCGAGAGCATCCAGCACAGCACCAGCCCAGCCCCAGGTGCCACCTCCCTGCAGCAGCCTGGAAAGGATCTCCCCTCTCCAAAGAGGAGCTGCAAACATTTTCACTTCTCTTAACACTCCAAAGATTGCATACAAAGTGACAGAAAGCAACAACAAATTTGAAAAATGAGACCTCTCTCCTCTAAGGTGCCCTGAAGCTCCACCTTCCCTCTAAACTTTTAATTGCCATTTGTCCCAGACTTCCATCAGTCACTGCTTTCTGCTGCGTCCTTGCTCCTACCTAACCCCTTCCTGGTCCTCACTCCAGCAACCCATGGAAAGGGGACCTTTCTCAGAGCAGCCACTGTTAAGAGGCTCTTCCCCAGCCCAGAAGCAGAACATTGCCTCCCGCTCTTCCCCTCCTTGCCAGGAAGCTCAGAGCTTCCCATGGTGGGATACGGAGGGACCCATTTCCCTGCCATTAGAGAACAGAGATGAGAAGAGGTGCAACCAAAATCCTGCCAGACGTGCCAGGCTGTTTTAAAGAAGAGTGATTAAATTATTCCTTGTGCTCACTGAAGGTAAGGCAATTAGCTCAGATGGCACAGAAGGAGATGTTAGGTATTAGAAGTAGCAACTATAAGGATGGCTAAAGATGGGGGAGATCAGGCAGGAAGGCCAAGGAATCCCCATCCATGAAGATTTTTAAGATCAAATTAAGCAAATATCAGTTTGTTTATCACATTCTGCTTTTTATTCCTTGCACGTTACAGAGGTGACCTCTTGGCACCACTTTGAATCCCCAGTTTGCACAGTTTCTTCAGCACATGAGGTGAAATGACAGAAAGAATTTGGAGTAATGGAGGCAAAAGTGAGGGCTTGTCTGATGGAAAGGGGAGTTCTGAGTGTGTTCCAATGCACAGATGGGGGCTGGTGAATAGGAATAACAGAGGAATTTAAAGGCCATGGTCCACAGCCACATGTCAGGGCAAGTAACAGTGCAGCACGGGCTGAGCTGCACCAAACACCACCAGGACTGGAGAAGAGGTCTGGGAATGAGTTGGGTGAACAGGGGTAACAGAGAAAGGTCTGGGTCAGGTTTAAGAGCACCAGCCAGTGCAGTGGCTGCCAGAACCCCTTAGACAAAAGGGGTTTCGGTATTAGCATTTTTTAAAAGTATTAAAGTTCTGAATTAAAAATAAAATCCTGTGTCCTGGCGAGGGGGGGGTGGGTAACCCCCAGCACTCCACCACAGCCAACACAGCTTTTCCAGTCTAATCTGCTGGGCCTTCAGCACCAGCTCAGCAGGCAGGGCCCAGTGATGCTGCACTATCCATGGATCTGCACATCTTCTGCAGGTCTGATGCATGTGTGAATTATTAATCTGGGGCTGAAGTCAGCACCATGTCAAGGACCTCTAAAATCTGCCTTAAAGAAGGCAGAGTCCAAGAGAATGGAGGAACAAGGGGAGAACAGGGCTCAGGGGAAGGAGGACTGGATTCCCTGCTGAGATGTTTGCAGGAGGCAGAAAATCTGGGTCCTGGCACTGTCCCAGAGCAGCACTAGAAGGAAGAGACACGCACAGGAGCAGACAGAGAACTTTTGGCTCAACACATGAACAGGAGCTAAGCAAGCAAAAGCTGTTTCTTCATCCCTTCTCTGTCAGGACATAATCGATTTCCTACCTCTGCTATAACAGTTCCACTGGCTTTTAACTCTCCCATTTCTTCAAGACTTATTTTCTAATCTAAGATGATGGGACTTTTGCTCCACAAATCCCAACAGCACTTCTCAGAGGATGATATTATAGTATTCTGGTACTATGGTGGTGTAAAGTAATTGGGACTAAGTAACTGTGAAACTTAACAGTACAACATTGAGAAGGTCTGCAGATTATTTGGAGGAGTGAACAGAAAAGAGCATCTTTAAAATCCAGGGTGCATCCTGGAGTTCCTGAGATGGGAAAGGTTCAGACCAAGGCAAGTGCACAGGACAGAAATACACACTGTAAATCTTCCTAAGCAGCTCAGCCTGTCCTGGTTCCTCAAGGTTTTGCCAAGGTATTTTGTTTGTACTTGTCACATGACTTAAATCAGGCATCACATCCTAATCAAGACGGACACCAGTGTCTTCCCAGGCAAAGCTCCCATCCTCAGACTGCAGGAGCGGCTTAGCTGCCCTGTGCACGTAACTCCTGCCTGAGCCTCTTCCTCGCTCAAGGGGAAGGGAGGTGAGAGGCTGCCAGGGACCAGGGGCACTTGGACATCTCTGGTCATTCTTCTGTTTGCTGTAGAACAGTCTACAGCAAGGTACAAACTGGCCCGGTGTGTGCTGTACTCAGAGCTGCTTTTCTACAGCAGAACAGACTCTCGGGGCCAGGAGTGGTGTCCTCCAGAGAGAGAGGGCTTCCCCCACCCCAGAGCACAACATTCACTCCTTCAGGCTCCTGATCCTCCCAGGTTAGGGATTATGGAATGGGATGGCTGTTACTAAACGCTCCGGTTTCAGCAACCTTCACCAGCTTTTAAATGTGTTGAGTTTGGAACTGGAAAAGGCTCAGAATCTGTCCTTTGGTCCCAAGACACAGCGATTGCCCCTGCCCACACACCCAGTGAGCTGACCTCTGACAGAAGACAAGCTCTGATTCTGCACTGCTCATAGTCTAGTGGGAAATACTTTGCTCCTGCTGCTACTTGTCCATTCTTGCCCATCTTTTTCTCACTTTTCACAGCCTTTAAGCATTTATCTTTTCACGCCTTTGCCTGCTCTGGATTTCCCTCAAGGCTGATTCTGCTACATTAGGGTCCTTGTGCCATTTTCTTTTATCTTTTTTTTTTTGTCTCAGGTAGAATTTTCCCCACCTACCTCATGCCCATGCAGTTCCATGAGCTGAAGTAAACTGAGTCACTGACCCTTTTCCCACCAGGAGCAAGAAGTGATTCACAAACTATATTCCTCAGAGCTCCCAGCTGGCTCGTGGCCAAGGCAGCGCAACAGCTCAGGACTAGCTCCCAAAGTAGCTGTCCAAGGCACTATTTAGCTCAGGGCTGAGACACAGGCAACATGGAGATACTCTGACAAAAGCAGGGAGAGGGAGGAGCAGCAGGAAACCTCTCTCATGGTGGAATGTTACTAAAAGTAGGAGTGAAACAGTAACCTCTATAATCCAAAGTTTCTCTCAGATACACGTATCAAAATGGGGAATAGTAACACTAAAAAACACGCTCAAGATTCCTACAAATATTTAATTAAATGTGTTTAAGATTTTAGTTCCATCTGCCTGCCATATTTCTGATTTATCAATGAGCAGGTCTACTCCCCTGTTTGCAGGAATGATTGGTGCCTTTCTGGAGACACTAGAAGAGAGGACTCTCACAAGTTACACGTGAAATAGAGGGATCACACTCTGGCTTAAGACATCCTGACTCACTGGACTTGTAATCTGATTATACGGGTGTTTTTGGAAGCCCTGTGCAGTATGTCCTGCCGTGCTCCAGCCTTTCCCCTCTGGGGGTCACCACGTTTGCCGCTTCACAGACACCCCTGGGGTTTGGAAACTGCCCACTCGTGACAGATGGAAACAGGGAGGCATCTTCCGAAACTTCCCACTGATTTTAAATATTTGAGTCGAAGAGCTGGAGATGCAGTAAACATTCCTCATTCCAAAGAAGGCCTGGGGAAGCTCTCAGCACACAGCATTTTTGGCAAAACAAGCTTGTGGTGTCTCAAGGTGTGCACCTGAGATCTGTGTTTGTTCATTTGTAGTGGCACAGGTGACTAGTCAAAAATTTAATGCTCAGGTAATTTATACCTTCTCTATGTTTTTAGTTGCAATAGCACCTTGGCTTCTGTTTACTGGCACTCTGTTGGACATCCACAAAGCTGGTAAAAGTGTTTTTCTATCTCAAATGTTGTGATGTTCCTGTGAGAGAAAGTTTGTGGGGAAAAAACAAAAAACAACAAAACCCCCACAAAGTTTGTGATTTAAGACAAATCACGTTTTGGAGGGTAAATCTAAAAGAGCCTCTCTGGTCTTTGAAGAAACGTGGGAATAAAAGAGGCATTTGCTGGGAGAGCAGCTCTGAGGCCAAACAAGTTTTTGAAGTAGGAAAGCTGCTCTTATACACTTCTGCTGTCAGGCAAACTGTGCTCAAGTGTGCTGGTCATTCTGGAGCCTTGAAAGCAATGCAGCGTCTGGTAAATTCATTCCCAGATGCTGGGGGAACAAGGGATTGTGGGAGGCAGTGTAAGATGGGGAGGGATTTACTGCAGAACAGAGAAAAAGCAAATCAATAAAAGTTTGTTCAGCCTTCCTTCCCTTTTGCTTTGTTTTTAGTGAGGTTGTAGCAGGAAAAATTTTGAGATTTTTATGCTTGTGTTGCTTTAAGGACAGGAATGCTGGAAACGGAGGTATTTGATACCTTTGCTGCTAATTACAGTGCAAGCTCCCAGTGTCCTGACAATGCCCTTGTCCCTGACCTGGAGGGGCCTCACTGTCTCAGGGTCAGCTGTAATTTAGTTTTAGGTCAGACCTGGGACTCTCCTGCCAAACTAACTGCACTTTGTTTTGAAGTAGAAACCATTTACTAGCAAGTCTGAGACCATCAAACTCATTTCACTAACAAGAAACAGGAACAAAGAGCAGAGCCCCAGAGACGAAGGTCAGTGTTGGACACGGGAGAGCTCAGCTGCCTCACGAAGGCAGGGGCTGTTCTCCCACTGAGCCCCACAACCCCGTGAGCCCAGATCTTCTGCTCTCTTCAATTAAGCTTGTTTATTACAGAAAAGCCTAGGGACCAACTAAGCTGTGCCAGGCCCAGGCCCCAAACAGGCAAACAGCACTGGCAGCCCCCACCTTAGAGTGCTACTACACAGTTGCTGCATTTCGCAGGAGGCTCAAGAGGAGTGAGCTCTTCAGTAAAGCTTTTGAGTTGTTTGTGCTGCTCCAACCTCTTCTCGCAGATTGGCTGGGTGATTTGGGCCAAGAAACTTCTGTTTTACTACTTGAAAACTGAGGTTTTTCTTCCCTACCTCAAAGAAACCCCCAAAAACCAAAGACGCTTCGAGATCTTCAGAAAGAACATGTTGCAGAAAATAACTCAAAGCTGTAAAGGGAAATACTTTTTAACTTCCTCCAAATAATCAGGACTACCTAACTCACAAGGAACGAAGTATTTTTTCAAACCAACAGATTTTGATCTCATCTTCTTCCCCCTCACCACACTGATGGGCAGAGATTCCACTGTCACGGTGCCACACAGCGTTACCTGAAATTAACTCGTCACCTAACGAATGGTTCTGTACAATTTGTGGGTCAGCATGAGCACCTCGTGCATTTTGCATCTTGTCAGAGTCCCTGCTCTTTTGCAGTTATGTAGACATAGGACTGGGTTTTCTAGGGGAAAACCTATTCACAGCAAAATTTTTTTTTCAACTCTGCACATCATTGCAACAAGAGGCCAACTTGCACTTACAGGAAAAAAGCTGGATGAAAAATGGGTGCCAATTTACTAAATAGCAAAAGTCTCTTGACATCAAAGGAGTGTTCCATGAAAGAGACAGACAAGTATAGACCCAAACATGCTCTTTGGGAACAGTAAAACACATTCAGCTCTAGTTGTTGGCCAGAGCTGGGGTTTGGTGCTAAGATGTGAGAGACCACAGCCATAGCAAGGAACAGGACTGCTAAGAGATATTAAAATCTTTCTATCGTGACAGTTGACTAGAAGACTGCAACACACCCTGAGGTGTGTTAACACTTGTTCCCTGCCACGCTGGGCAGCTGCAAGGCAGTGTGGTAGGAAGAATTACCAGCCCTACAGACTCTCAGAGGAGTTTAAAATGTAATACCCTCATTGTCAGACACCACAGGTCCCTAACTACCTGCAAACCCAAACCGCTCCTCTCAGCATTGGTGCCTCTGCAAATATCAAACCAGCTTCCAAGGGCTCATTTCAATTGCCAGAGCTCTTTGTGGGACAGGTCCCAGCTACTCAAGAGCTGGATACCTCCTCCGTGGCTCCCTGAGAAACCCACGTGTTCCGGGAGCGATGCAATTGCCATGTACCAGAACAAGGCTCTGGAGCAGAGCAGATAGCTTCCTTGGCAGCTGGCCTGCAGTGCTGGAGCTCGCTCCCAGGAGAGATTAGAGGGAGTAAAAACCTCACTGCCATCAGAGCAAAGCGCTCAACCTGCTTCTACCAGAGATTTCTCACAAGAGCGAAAATATCCAAAAGTGTCTCTACAAATAGGAGGCTGCAGGAACAGAGAAAAGATAACCCAGTTAATGTCATGCACACAGCTTTGCCACCAGATAGGTAACACTGATCAGTAAAGCACAGGCAGAAGCTCTGAGCAGAGCCTGTTTTACACCTGGAAGACTACCTGACTAACATCTGGACAGAGAATTGCCTCTCTACTTAAAGCCACCCAAACCCCAGATCTGCAGCTGCAAAGCTTTCAAGTAAGGTTTTTAAATTTGGAAGTTGAATAGCATGAAATGTATTCTATTCCCCAGATGACCTTATCCAAGCTCATTTTCAAGGCACAATAGAAGACATAGCTACCCTTGGGTTCCCAGGTAGTGCAATTTATACCCTGAGGCAGATGAAAGTACAAACTACTTGGACTCAGACTTTGTGTGCTTTTGGACTCCCCTGTTACTTCAGGTGTCCCCATATCTGCATAACCCCTACAGCAAAGAGAAAAGGAGAGTTTTCACTCATTTCAAGGAAGGCTGAGCTCTGCCCATAGACAAGGTCATTTTCTGTCTGCACACAGAGGACTCCACCCAGAGGAGCTGTTTCCCAAGGGCAGAGCAGAGCCCCTTTGGAGACAGCTCCCAAGGCTGGAGCTCCTGCAGGGCACGATGCAGGCTCACCCCCAGCCCTGCAGGCTCCTGGGAACAGGGCCATAATGACCATGGACTGCCCAGTCAACCATACAAAGGTCATCTCCCATCCTCTGCTCCACTGCCACCGAGGAGGGGCTGTGCAAGGTGGAGCACGGAGCTCTGGGCAGGGCTGTGCGGGTGGCAGCCCAGCCTGGGAACTCAGGAGCAGCAAGGAAGGAGAGGATGCTGGAGTGGAAGTGATTTGAATTAGAACAAACTGGCTGCTGAATAGAAGCTTTTATTCCAGCATGGAGAAGGCTTTGTTAGTCAAGCACATGTGATGCACAAAAGCCTCCACTTGAATTCATTGAGTTTTAATTGGTTCTCAGGTGGGGGAGGAGATGGGTGTTAGGAATTAGGGATTCCTTAAAGAGGCAATATCATTAAATCTTAACGCCTCTTCCCTCTCACCCCTGGCTTCGGCTTAGGAGTCTGGCCTCATTCAATTGTCTCATGTTAGAGAATCAGAAAAACTGAGGGAGAGAAAGGGTGGGAGGGGGAGTCACTAATAAAGCCTAAAGGGAGATCAATGAACTAGGAGGGTGAGGGGCAGGAGGAAGACTGAAAAAAGAAAGAGGCTGCTTGGGAGAGGAGGGAGGTCACACGCAGGCAGGGAAGGCAGGAGAACCTCAAAGGGATGAGGGAAAGAGAATGATGCCATTTGAGTCGGTGCTTTCTTTTCTCCCTGCATTCCTTCTTTTATTGAACACTTAAAACTTCCCTTGGAGATCCTCTAGCTTGGCTCTGTGAGCCTGTGCTCCAAAATAACAGATCACCAGAAGGAAGGAAGCAAATCCTGGGATAGGCATGGAGGGCATGTGCATGGAGAATAATGGTGGTGAGAGAAATCTGCTTGGAAGGACCTCACAGGAGCTGCTGCTTGTTTTGCCAGACACAGCACGTTTCAGACAGAAGTTTTGTTACTAAGAGTCTGCCACAGACATAGCTGAAACAAGGTCCTTGTGAGTGAAGTCAGTGTTGTAGGAGGTTCAGCACCCTGCCCAGTGACCCTGGGTACCTGTGAGCCAGACCCTGACAGACAACTGCTCCACTGTGATGTGGAACACACATCTCACAAATGTACAATGATTTCCATCAGTCCAGTACATCACAAGAGAATGAATTAACGTTGGTTTAACTACTACATTTGGAATTTAGATAGGTAAGTGAATGACATACCAAACACACTGCCAGCAAACACCAACTCGAATGCATTTTCTCTGGAGTTCCTGACAGAAGAACACTGCTTCTATATTTAAGCCAGACAGTTTATCCTGCACAAAGCCACACACAGCAGATATTCTTTACAGGAAGCACTGCCTACTGTTTCATTATAATTCTTCATTACAAAATTAGACTGCACAATCTCTGCTTGTAGACACCATGGCACTAATCTCCCCCAAAACAGGGGCAGTGCAACTGATTACTGCACAGACTCAAACAGGAGGGCTCTGACTTCTGTGTGAGGACAGTGTGGGATGCTGCAAACAGCATTTCCATGATGGCTTCTCTCTGAGAGACTGTCTGATCAGGGTCACCTACTGTGGTGTGAAATCTGAAGGAAACACAAGATCCTCCCCTGACACAGCTGTGGTACAGGGTAGCTCTCACACATGTGGGTTATTCATGTATTTCAGAGCGCAGGAAAAAGAGAGATTGGTGTATTCTCCCATTGAAAGTGTCATAGGACCCAGTTTTCCAAACCTCCTCTTTGAAATAGGAGCCTAAGTGTCATTTAGAAGTGACATATAGACTGCAATCTCATTTGGTCCTTAACTCCAGCTGAAAGCAGACGTGGTCTCCACCTGGCAAAGGCATTTGTGAGCAGTGGGCCGCGACAGTGCCTGGCACCAGCTACAGAGAAAGCATTTAACCACACATGGAGAAGAGATAACACCACTTGCCTTGATTCCTAATACTGCAAAGTCTACACACAGATTCTGCCAAGCTGCCCACTGTCACCACTTGACCAGTGACAGGAACAGCAGGGCTTTCCTCCAACAAGGGAGTCTCCCTTGGAGAGCTCACATGGGAAAACATAAACAAGGAGCCCCTCAAATCCTATTATGGAGACATTCTTTTCCCTTTCCAAGCAATGTTTATTGTGTGCTTCAGCTTGTGTCTTCTCATAGTGCACCTGCATTACAGGTAGCATACACACTGCACACAGATTTATTTAATTTTCTATCTTAAGAGTTCTAAATAATCCACAGGCATAATTTCAAATTACATCTGACTCACTTGAGGCAACCAGCTGCTCTTCATCATCAACGGTAACATTTGTGGGTTCATCTTATTGTGCACAGTTCTAACACGATCCCTGCCCTGCCAGAAAGCCACATCCCTCTGCACAGGACTAAGCAACTGCACTGTTTCCTACAACCCTGCATTCCATGTTAGAGACAGAACAACTCCTGTGTCTATCTTCCCAGTAACAAAATGTAGGAAAAGGCTGTCGTAATAAAGATGGGCAAGGTCATGCCTCCAACACTGTTCCTTGTATTTATCCTAGACTTGTTGCCCTGGATGCATTTGCCCTCCTCCCAGTAGTTTGCTAGTAACAGGCTTTCCTGTAATTGTTTCTTTCTCTTTCAGATATGTTCAGTTTATACTTCAGTGCTGGAGTATTAGTTTTCCCAATTCCAGCTTGTTTCTCAACAGTCCCCTATTTTGTAGCTTCCAACAGGATCAGACCATTTGTGCTTTTGGAAAGAAAAATAATTGGGGGGAAAAAAAAACCCTCTCAGTATGCTCAAATATCTTGTTGCTCTCCTATGGTTTTCAGTGGATGGCTTTGGTGGTTGGGATCCTCTTGCAACATTTTTCCTAGCAAGTCCCATTTCCGCAACCTCTTGGTATGCGACAGCAGGCACTTCTGAACTGCTTCACCACACAAGCCACAGATTTGTCTGTCACAAACAGTGTCAGTTATCACAGCATCAAATTTGCTGTGTGCAGCAGGTCTCCAAGACTGCCATGAATTGAAAATTGTTTTGCTACCTCTTCTCAATGCCTGACGGAACAGGTATCTCAGCAATCAGCAGTGGCTTTGGGGCAAAGTGTGACTGACACATCTGCAGCAGCTATCCAGTTAATTTTATTCCTGGCCTGTTTCGTTACATTAAACCTCACGATGCTCACCATATTTCCTCCTTTCCCAGCAGCAGAGATAGCAAACCCATTCTTTCAGCTCCAGAAGCAGTTTAGCTACGGCTGCTCCACCGATTAGACTGGCTTCACCTCACAGGTCCTCCTGCATCCAGGAGATTGCCTCTTGCTTTGTGACTACTAAAATCACAAAATGAAGCCAATCCTAAGCAAAACTCAGCCCTAACAAGAGATCACTGACAGTTTCAACAGGACCACAACAGATTTATCCTGTGCCAAGCTAGTGGTCAGGCACAAGATTTTACTTTCTGTGAAGGGGCAGATTTGTGTGGCTGCTGACACAGTTTCAAGAACTATAATACGAAGACCACCTACAGCACAGGTCTGGTCAGAGCACTCATACAGAAACATGCCCTACCCTCCTCGGAAATCACTTGTTTCTGCTCCAGTGGAGAAGCCCTTGCAAGGACGCTGGGAACACCCATCCTTTGCTCTGTCAATGGCCACATCAGCATCCTGTGCTGAGCCCAAGGGTTTCCTGCAGATTGCAGCTTCCCATTCTGCTTCATCTGAAGCTGCAGCCCCCAGGCAGGTTCCACACACAAGCTCCTGCTCCAGCCCATGCCAGGCAGTAGTTACCTGCAGGATCAGCCATCAGAGCACTCACAGCTTCTCCGGGCCCAAAGGCCACATCCAAATTTGTGCGGGAGGAGGCCAGAGCTGCACTGGAGCCAGGCTCTCCGTGCTACAGACAGAATGAGGCTAGGATGACTAATGAGAGAAGCCAGCGCTGCGGAAGCTTTCCAGCCCAGTGCCCTCACAGGTGGTAGCATTTGCACATTTATCAGTGTAATATTGCACACTCACTGTTCCTTAAATTTGCACAAACCCGCACCTCCATGGGCCTGCTGGCCAGCGGACCTCGCTTGGAAAGTTCTTTACAAATGCACAGTCACTACTGATAACCACACACAAATTCCTACTGGGAACTTCAAGGGAGAGCTCTGCACTTCAGTACGTTCACTCATTGTATCTAAACATGTTATTTCTCTGAATGATACCAGTGCTCTGTCTCCTGTGTTTTGACAGGTAAGTAGATGAGGGGCACTGTGGCTTTAAGAAGGTCATTTCCACTGTCCTGCCGCTGTAATTAGCCTGCTAAAGAAAGGGCAGAGGCTGGAAATTGGATTGAGCAAACCAGGCTTTAGCCGCAGGATGAAGGCAGAGCCCCAGGATTGTTATGTTAATCACCTGAGCTCAGCAGTCCCTGCCCTTCAAACCCAGCACAAACCCGGGACCCCTCTGCAGAGCAAACCCAGCCTGGCTTAGGCTCCAGCTGCCCCAGGACATCTCCCTCCACCTCCTGGGATGCAGGGGCCACCCCTGTGGACAGACCTGGCGGCACCCGGAGGGGATCCTGTGCCTGGCCACAGCCTCAGCCCGTGGTCATACAGCTCCTCTGATCCAGAGCGCCGGGACACAGCTGCCAGTGGGGCGAAGACTAAATGGGGGTCACGGGTGACTCCGCGAGCTGATGGGCCAGGGCTGCTTTACACCAGCTGAGGATCCAGCCCCGGCTGTGCTGAGTCAAAAGCACGTCTGAAAGCACAGATTGCTCACTGCTATTTCACCGATGAAAAATAGCATTAAGAACAATAGGCCAGATTCGTACCCAGCACAATAACGGCTGTAGGCAGCGGGCGGGTTCGGGTGGGTGCCACCCCTCTGCAGAGACAGCACAAGCCCCCCAGGTCCCTGGGCTGGCAGCCCAATGTCTTCAGCACCAGAGCCACCCCAAGTTAATTCCAAGGGCAAGTCCCAGGGGTACAACCTCTGGCCTGCCCCTGAACTGTCTTCAGGAGTGCAGCCACACTCTGTGCCAGAGCTGTCACCTGCACCAGACACTGGTGTCACATCATCAAGAGGCGCTGCACAAGCCAGCAGCTTGGCCCAAGGTGCCCTGCATGCTGTAGGGACATGTTTGTGGCACAGCCAGTGAGAGCTGGCCACGAATCACTCTCAGTCACAGCCGGCTGCCTGCTGTCTCCTGTTTTGTCCTCGCCACCTCTCCCCTCCACAGGATACAAGGCTGGGGTTTACCTCACTGCACTTTACTAGCTTGTATCCCCTGGAAACGTGCCTTTCTGTCTCCTCTCTGCTCAGGAACTTTGGGCTAACAGCCCTCACCACCACCACCACCACCCACCCTCTTTTTAAGGCAGCGACCCAGGCTGGCCATTGTCCCCTCCTTGCTGCCCCCATTTTCTTAGGGCGAGCTCACGCCTCTCCCCCGCGTCGGGCCAGCTGGGGCTCCGCGTTACCTCCCTTGTTCTTTGGCACATTTTTTCACTGCACCCCATTGCTGCTGGGGAGGGGGAGGGAGAGGAGGAGGATGGGAGGGCAGTGTCTGGCTCCGCATCCAGCACGCCGGATGGCATGGTTTTGGAGAGGCCTGGCTTAGTGAAGTTATTCAAGCCAACGGCAGCCTGGCAACCGGGCGGCCACAATGGGAGCGCAGGAGGAGGAATGTTTCCACATGCCTGATCAATGGGAGCAAGGGAGACAGCAAAGCAAACAGAAGCTGGGAAAGAGACACAAAGAGAAAGCAGCCTTTTCTCTGCTCAGTTCCTTTCATTTGTCACAGCTCTTTGTGCAGCTGATGACAACGGAGGCCCTTCGGAGGCTAGTTTTAGGGAGTTTGGTTTTTCTAATTAAATAAAATGCCGTGTCCTTTTTATTCACTTGTCACCTTCCCGCTCGCCAGAAAACCCCCAAGAGCAGCCCCATCAGCACTTGATCCTCCTGCTCCACGCACCTCCCAGGAGCCCCAAGCACCTCTTTCTCCCTGAGAAGGTAGAAAGGCACAAGCACCCCCTCAAAACAGCTCCGTGCTGGACACGCTGCCCTTCCCGAGCACCAGCAGGGCCCTGCTCGGGGGCTGCAGCACAAGCCACCCGCGGCCCCCCGGCTGCTCATTATGGGAATAAAGAGCCCAGCAAAGAACAACTTCTCTGGAGGTGGCGTGGTCCCGCAGCAGCTGCTGACCAGACTAATGGGCAACTTTCTATGGGAACGAGGCAGCGTTCAAAACAGGGTTAGAGGAGAGTTGCCTTGGAAACTTGGACCATTTCTGCCGAGGGGCTACGATTTCCCTCGAAAGGTCCCAGACAGGATTTACCTGGGAGCCGACTGTGGGACAGAAACTCCTGCAATCTGCAAAGCAGCTGGGGGATGGAGGCAAAGGAGGGGTTTCAGGACAGAGGCACCAGCGTGCTGGTGCTGGGTTGCATGGTGACAAACAACTCCAAATCCAGCCCTGTTGCATAAGCAGTGGTGGGAGCCCAAAGTTGTTTCCTCTAATTACTATGCAAGAGTTCACAGCGACAGGCCTCCTCTTGTGCAGGAGTTTACTGGAAAGGTCCTCCCTGGCTCGAAGGCAACACCAAGCAAAGCAACAGGAGAGAGAGTTTGGGGGTAAGCTTTCCTGCACTGAGGCCAGAGCAGAGGTTATTCTATCTCTTTTTAAAAAAATAAGTCTGTCTGGACGTATGAAGCCCTAAAAAACAGAGAAACCTTTGGGCTGCTGAGGAACAGGAGGCAGGACACCACACGTCCACCAAAACACAGGCTTCCTCTCATATGAACAACTCCATCACCACGCAGCCAGGGCTGCAGAAGCTCAGCTCCAGCCCCCTTGAGCATTATGAGTACAAGAAAAGGACTAGTGATCCTGCATGTGCTTTAGGAGGAGGGAACTTCTGTTTTGAACATGGCACTGCTTGGAATCTCACCAGGTTAGGGTCAGGATGCAATCAAACCAGACAAAGGAGCTCCAACAACAAAAATCAGTGAATGGCAGCATAAGCTCAAGGAAATAGAATGAAACTCAGTCCTAGTCATGGATGTAACCTTGGGTCAACAGCACAGGTTGCTGCCCACTTCCAACAGCCAAAGACATAAATAGCCAAATACAGGCTTCTCAGTCTTCGTGGGCAGAGGTTCCAGGCTCCCCAGGTGGACAGCAAGTTCTTCTGACACCACCTCTTTCTATTTCCAGGACTTACATTGAGATAAGGGATAAACCTCGTGGGTTCTCAGTAGTCCTGTGTCTCAGTCAATCAGTGGGGTTGATATTGCACCAGACATTTTGGCAGTCAGGCTCTGAAGTGACCAGGATGCACAGTCCTACCAGCTTCTGATGTCCCTCCACCTGAATTGCACATCATACTCTGCATTCTCCCCCCTCCTTTGGGGGTTCAGCCACATCTGTGTTAGCAGGTCAGGTTAAAAGAAGAACCCACAAGCCCTTTTTCACAAAAGCTGAATTCCAACAGTGTTGGGGTTTCCTCTGCCTCATTCTGGAGGCATCAGGGAGGTGACACACTGCCTCAGTTTCACTGTTTTTCCCACCTTCCCATAGTGTCACCTGACATTTTTGCTGGATAATAATGTTTGTGAGGTGTTCATTTAACAATGTAATTGCCTCTAAATAATAATAATTACAATTACCAAAAAAGAAGATTCTACCCTATCCCTTAACACCAAGTTGTTTGTTGCCATATAATCAGCAAACTTGCTTTTGGGAAGCATCCCAATTTCCATATCAAGTATATCACAGCCATCCCAGTCCTGCCTGGCCCTTCCACTGCCCCCAGACATGCGCTAAGTGCCAGCCTGCAGCTGAATGAAGATCAGGAGCCTCCCCTCCCCAACTTCAGAGAGAAAAAAACCTCACTACACAGACATTACCTACTCCTTCAAACTTATTCCAGAGTTCCTTGAGCCTTCTTGTAAGGAAGGAGAAATCCACCTTCACTCCTGCTCAAAGGATTGCTTTCATTAAGGCCTCTATAGATTTGCAATGACAAGTATTTGACCTGCTTCAAAAATATTCATGAGACTCTCACATGCATTCACTAAGGGCAGACAAGTAAAATCCTCAGCTCACGTTCTCCCAAGGTCTCGGGGTGCTGATGGCAATATACATCCTAATTACAATATAGACCATATTGAGAGTGAGACCTTGTCAGCTCTGGTGACGCTTTCTTTGAGTCAAAGAATCTGGAAGTGATTGCGATTATTTCTCAGTAGATCAGAAAAAAGTCTAACCACGTGCAAATATCTTTAAGTAATTGCCCTTTTCCCTGGCCTCAGTAAGAAGCTTCCAAGACAGGCCACAGGGAACATTTGAACTGCACAAGGAAATTTAGATGCTCCCACAGCTTGAGTTGTGCAGAACAGCAAAATGTGCTGCTCCCGTGCAGCAAAAAAATACAATTCTCAGGTATGAAGACTGCCAAGGCATTCCATGATGGTATTCACTAAGCTCTGAAACAAAAAGATCACTCTTCTTTACAGACAGTGCACAGTGTAACATGCATGGGACAAAACGAGCAGGAAAAGCAGCATTCACTCCCCACAGAATTCCAACCAGTCACTGCAGACTTCCAGAAATGTTGCAGAGCTGTGCAAAATGCAACGCAAGTGGTTCCTTGTGGGGAAGAAAAGCAAAGTGTGTTCCTTCCTAACACAATCACTGCAAGGCAGAGCAGTTCTCACATAGCTGGTGCTGCCCTTTCACTCTTGCACCTGCTGTGAAGACACCATCCAGGTAAGTACCAGCACTCTACAGCTCCCTGCTCCGCCTCTCTCAACAAGATCCTTCTGTGCTGCCTATGGATTCATCCCAAGATAACATTCTTTGGTAGAAGGACAACCTGCTGATGGACACATGCAATTAGTAGCCTGCTGACAGGTGCCCTTTCAGCCTGTCTGTGGTCCCTTTTACTCAGGTAAAGCTGGCACAGCGATCCAGCCACTCATCCTTTGTTACAGCTCTATAAAGTGGAGGAAATAATTCAAAAAGTCTTAAAGGGAACCTCAGGGTGGACAGAGAAAATGTGATAGGTATTTCATAACTGAGGGAGAGGCGGCATTTTATCACTGTTGAAACGGCTCCCACTACTGAATCAATAACTGCTTGAGCTTTTTATGATTCTCCTTAGCACAGGTAATACCACAACAAGGCAAAGAGCTGCCACCTGCAAACACATAAACAAGTAAATCTCAGAGGGGAGAAGAGGTGGGGCGGAAAGAGAGCTTTTTTTTCCCGAAATACTGGGTTAATCCCAACTGAAAGGGGAATACTTCCTCTAACAGCCTCCCTTTCAGTCTTGTGACAATGTGACCCCGATGCAGACAGTGCACAGGTGATGCAGAGAGCACACAAAAGGCAACTGGGATGGTGGTACTGCCCCCACAACCTGCCGGTGTCCTGCAGGTTACAGAGCACACACCATACCCATGACCAGATCTCCCAGCAGCCTAATTACACAACCCTGCCACAGGGGTCAGCCCCCAGGAAAGGAAAGTCCTTCAGGCATATCACATCAGAGCTCCTTGAGATCACTCCCACTTACTCACGTCAGTCCCACTGGCACACAGGCACCACAGCCTTGTACAGTTGTTTTCTGAACAAAACTGGAAGCAGAGTGATCCCAACACATTTTGGTATGGCGCAAGCAAAACAACTTCACGTGGTTACAGGACAGACTGCAAATGTTTGTTATAATGCCCTCTTCCGCCCACAGCCCTACAGCCCTGATGAAAATCAGAGAAACCCATCCCTTTGGGTACAGTCTGTTCTTGGCCACAGCACATGTGGGTGCCAGAGACAAAGCACAGGGCAGATCCAACCCTGTTTACTTCGCCACTTGAGACCCTGACCTTGACCATCCACTTGGCAGAGGATGTATGTGGCGTTCAGAAGCTGCTCCCACCAGTGTTTAGGCTTTTCCCCTTCCTCATGGATATGTTACACAAAACACAGCCCAAGGTTACCACAGGTACATAGTTGTGAAAACCAGACATCCTTTCTTTAAAAACCCAGCAGTCTCCCCTTGGCCTGCCACAGCCTGCTCAGACATTCCTCCAAACCCAAGGAAAGTGGCTTTTAACCTGCTCCCTCTTACAGAAAAACCTTTACAGGTTTTTCACTAGAAATATGGACCTATACATAGTGACCTTCAGCCTGCTGAAAATACACCACAATTCTGTTGTTAAGCACATAGTAAGAATCCTTACAAGCAGAGAAGGTGTTAAGCTGGGTCAACCAGGATAACAAGAAAAAATTACAATTCATTGTCTTTACCTAGGGAAGGAATGTTCCTTTGCTCCAGTGAAAAGCTGTTTATTGCAGAGAGCTCAGGCAGGCTGACTCGTGCAGCCCATCCTTCATTTTGCAGTGATCAGCCAGGTTGTGCAGTGCAAGGGAGAAATCTCTTCTGGCTTGCTGTCTGACTTAGCGTGGGGGACCAAAGAGGAGACATGTGAGTGCTACCCATAACCACCACTGGAATTAAAAAGCCATTTGTACAAAGCCATCGCTAACCTCCTATATAGCCTGCCAAGGTCTATGACCAGGCACAGAAGTGCCCTCCTAATAGCTCTGCTCTCTCAGAATAGCTCACCCTCTCAGAAAGGCTGTGATGGCTGATCTCCCTTACACCACTTAGCACCTGATGAGCAGGAACTGGGAAGGGGATGCTCACAGGTGGCCACTGTGATGTGCATCTCAATACTGCTGCAAAGTCACTCTGTCCTGCTCGCTACAGAAAGTCAGCTCGAACTCCAGGAGCAGCAAAAGCTACCCTCTCATTTCCTCTGTCATCTGTGTTGTCTTAGCATTAAAAGCCATATGAATCCACAGAGATAAATCCACCCACCTCTGCAATTCCGGAAGTGTTTGCATCCTTCTATCATGCTAAAACTGCCACGCTAATGGTGCCCAGCAGCAATTCCCCATCCTGCCTCTTGGCCATGTCAGAATAGCTCTCAGTGATTTTCTGTCATGCTAGAAGAGTTTGTCAGCTTGTCTCACGCCTTGTCTCACCAGTTCTGGTGATACTGGAGTATCCAAAAGGCATCCCACAACAGCCCTTCACAAAAACAACCACAGGGCTGAGTACTGAAACTGGCCACTCTGTCTGCCAACAGCTCTGAGGAGCTAATTTGAACCAGGCCGAGCTGCATGGACTCAATAATTAAGAAAGAATGTACATGAAGCCAGTATATTAAGGGGTGAGAATGCATTTCATGTCTAGAGAATTAAACCATTGTAATCAGAGGAGAAAAAAAAAAATCAGAAGTAAAATCCTTGCACAGACCTTGACTATTCCCTCAGCAGGACAAACCTGATGACTAGTTGTTGTTTACAACGATAAGGTCAGAGGAAAGGCCATTTCCTCTCAACAATTGTCAGAAAGGATTAAAACCTGCATTCAGGCTCTCTTTGAACTAGCAGGTACTCCATTCCCCGATGGTATCAGGATCCATTCAGCGAGGTCTCCGGCAGCCTCCGGGGCATGTCTCCATAATGCCCCCATTGTGGGAGTATGCACAGCACCACTTCCTGCGGTCACTGCAGCTTTATGAAGCTTCACCCTTGTGGTCCCATACCCAGGGCAGGAAGCAATCCTGCAATCACTGCTTAATTAGTCATTTCCCAAGTCTGCCTGGGATGAGAGCTGCTGCTGCTTGTCAGCTTCTGGAGAGGGAGGCTGGGAATCAGAAACATCACTACCAGACTGGGGAAGAGAAGTTGCTTGCAGGGTTTGAGGTGCAGACACTGAGCTCAACGGGCCACATTCTCCATCTCCACTTTCTTTTTTTTTTTCCTAAGTGGAAGGATTTGAGCGGATGAAGGGGCCGTTGCACCTTCTGCAAGTCAAGACAAAAGCTGATTTATAACACAAGTGGCTTTATTTTTGTTGATCTGTTGTTATGGGCTGGGCTTTGGTTGGCTATGGTTTTGTTCTGGGTTTTGGTTTTGTTGTGGTTTTGCTTTTGGGTTTTTTTTCCTTGAGAAATAGCATCTTTGATACAAAGCACATACTTCAAGAGAGGTCTGTTCCAGGAATTCCAGTTGCATACTTTCCTTTGTGGAAGTCAGTACTGAGCCTGAGAGGCTGGATACATGCAGCTACAGCTTTTCCAAGTGAGCTCATTGGAAGAGGTACCTCTTACCACACAGTCACCAATTTGAAAAGAATGAGAGTTACATAGTATTAAAATACTTGCCTAGATAATGAGTGTTTGTGTGTGGAGGAATGCTAAAGGAAAAAATATGTTTGTTTTGAAGCCCAACTGTTTTGAAAAAACATAATGATTTTTCTGTTTAACAAAATAAAATTGGTATTTCAATAATATCCAAAAGACCTGTTTTGGCATTTTCAGTGTACTTGGCATTATTGAGAAAAGCTTTTCAAAATAGAAAAAAGTATATACAATTATTTAAGAAGTTAGATGAAGCTATATAAAATAACTTTTTTCACTTTAAAGACACTGAAATCAGATCTCTGATCAAAAAAACCAATGTTCTCAGAGTTTCTTTTGTAAGAAAGTTTGATTTAAAATTAAATGCATTCTGGAATGGAAAAGGTTTTGAAAGCTCAACATTTACAAATAAAACGAGAACTTCACTCTTTCTCTATTCCCAGTTTCCTTTGCTGTAATGAAATAATTAGAAAAGTGGTGTATGTGATAATTTCCTTGTGACAGTGGGACAGCCCTGCTTTTGATAAGTGTGGGTGAAGCAGAGAAAAAACACCAGAAGAAAACCCCCAACAGATCAGTGATCCCAATGAGAAATTTACATAAATTTCAAAAAACTGGAATCCACAGAAGACTGATATGAGAAAAACTGACTCCAGTGTAGAGTAGAACTGGTGAGGGAGTTATAACATTAACTATTAGATATCCTATGAGAAGTTCCTGCTCTCTCCCCAGATATAGTGTGTAACTTCTTATAACCTTGTTCAAATCACATCTTGTAACATGCTGGATCAGTCTCTGTACAGGGTTAATGCACACAGCTTCCAGCAGCTCAGAGTGCAGGCAGAAAAAAATATGGATTTTCCACAAAAAGTGTGCAAGTATGTCCTCAGAAGGGTTTCCCCCCTCTCTTTTTCCCTGTAAGGCCATACTAACCCTGGCAACAACCAAATCCAGAAGACATGGGGGTGAGACAATGTCACATGAGGATCCTTTTTCCTCAGCCACTCAAGCAGATGAGCGGCATCTTCGTGGCATCTTCTCCATGCTCCCTTTGCTCTTCTGTTACGTGATCTTCCTCTTGAGCTGAGGTTTCTTGCAAAGTGTCAAAACACAATAAGAAAAATTATTGTTAAGACTGACACTGATGAGAGAAGGATGCAGAAGAGAGCTGTGAAGAGCTCAGGAACACCTGTGAGTTTATCAGCTCCATCCCTCACCTGGGGGAACAAAGGCTCAGCATCCAGCATTTCCATAGCACCAATAGCCATCAATAAATTGCTCTCCTAAGAAAAGAACAGATGTGACAAAGATTGTTCCAGGGTCTGTAGCAGACCACAGCCAAAGCAGAAGAGTCTAAACGTGCTGGGCAGGGATGGCAAGGGAAGTCACAACTGGGTTCCATCTAGGAGGAATTATTCTTACACTCAATTCATCAATTTACGGGCAAGTGATTCCACAGGCAACGTTGACTTGATTAAACAGAGCCATAATGACAGTGAGTGTAGGGAAGCATCCAGCCAAGTATGCAAACTAGCCTTCTCAGCCCGGAATAAAAGCTTTCTAACCAATAATTTCATGCTTTTATCTATACGATCATTAATACAGATACCAAACAATGCCAGCTCGACGTGGTGTCAAAGGCTCTGACAACCTCTAATTGATAATAAATAATTCAATTTCTGTCCCAGTCCAAAACTGCTGAATCTTGGGACATGTTCCAAATAAATGATTAAAAAGAACTTTGAATGTAATTATATCTCACACAATTGGGGATATTGCCCAGATGAAATTTACAGCAACTATTCAGAGTACAAAATTTCAATGACACTGGCACCTCCTTATGCCTACTAGAGAATGAAATGTGTTTTACCCAGGCAGTGGCACAGAGTGCATTTTTTTACCAACAGCTGTATGCCAGCAACTCGCCAGGCCAACCATCCTTCCCACAGAGGTGCAGCCTTTCCCAAAAACTCTCAAGAAAATTTGGGAACAGGATTTTGCCACAGTCAAATCCCCATTGTTCTGTACGTGCAGAACTGGATCCTCTTTCTAATACAACTGATTTTCCCCTCCCTCAAAACTGCTTACATTACAATTAACAAAAGTTTCTTAAGAAATTAACACCCCTTGTTTCTGGAAGGAAACTAGGGCAAAGTGTTTCAGCAAGGAAAGCGACCTAACAGCACAATCCTGAAGGGAAGAACGCAGCAGCTCAGAGGCACACCAGTTGTTCCCAGTAATTCCCAAACTCCAAAGCCAGAAGCCAAACTCCAAAGCCAGTAGTGAAAACACAGGATACGTATTTACAGAAACATCCTTATACAAGATTTGACTCCTGTTTTTCTCTCTCGTGTAAATCCTTGCTGAAATCTTACTTTCTGAATCTGTAAATGAGGGATGATGACGTTAACTGTGATTTATTTGGATGCAAATTGTTTTGAATGCGAATTTTTAATTTTCTTAGGAGAATGGTGTATGCCACTGACCTGAAGAAGTGATGGCTTTTAAGAACCTCGTAGATCTGCAGCAGTTATTTTACTGAGCTCGTATGGAAATTGTAGAAATGCACTTCCCCTGTAAAATCTGTCCCATTTCTTTATTCCCAGTTCCTTCTTGAAAACTCAACATCAGCATCACTGGAATCCCCAGGCTCACGAGGCAGTGACAGCAACCAGTGTGAAGATGTGCCAAGAGATCTGTATTGTTTATCTATAACTCTAATGACTCCCTGGACCTACTTAGGCTTATTTCTCAGTCTTTAACATACAACTTGCTATTTATGAAAATACAAAGAAACAGAAAAACCCAAGAGCTCTTCATTGTTCACAACACACTGTTCTGGACACTCATCTGTGTTTACCTGGCAGAGTGGTCAGAGGCAGCAGCCAGCCTGAAGCAAAGGGATCACCTGCAATGTCTGCAGGATCATGAGAACATCTGAGAAAATAAAAGAAGTCCCTAATTTGACCCAATTGCCATGATCAGGTGAGCCAGGCTTTTTTCTTCAAGAAAAATTCCCTTACAGGTGAGAAAACAGTGATTCTTTATTGTACATCTTTTTATATCAGATACATGCTCTGAAGTATCTACTACTGATCCCTGTAATAAAGAAAATGTTATATAAACCCATGCTCCAATCTAGTGGTGACAGGCTAGTAAGAATAACGAAACTTTGCTGCCTTCCTTTAAAAAAGAAGAAAACTTATAAACTACTGTTAAAACCTAATATTTGAAATGACTGGATTTTCTTTCACAGCAATATTCAACATAAATTATAAGTGAAGTTATATAAAGTAAATTATATAAAAGTGTGTGTGTGTAAGTATATATAAAAAGCAGAGCGACTAAGAGAAGATTTAAATACCAGAAAACACAAAGATGCTTTCCTTATTCAATCTCAATTGCCCACACAGACTAGCCAAAGATCTCATATGTCTTCATAGCCTTGGTGATGTTGATGTTATTTTCCAGGATAATGGAACAGTGGAACCCAGGCACAAAATACTGTAATGTCAGAAATCACTCTGGAAGTTGCTGAGAGAACTGGATTGAGCTCTGTGACCCGGTAACGTTTTCACAGCCAGGTCACAGGTACAGAGTGTTTGTTCACAGAGTAACTTAACAATCATTAATACTCTGTGGTTAGGCCATATATCTATAGGAAATGTGTTCCAAACACTTTGTTATGCAAAGTTTATTAAATATGAGTTTGCAGCAGAGAGAAGTAGAAATGCAGATGTATTAAAAAGATGTCATCACCTCTTTGAAATGTTTTTGTCTTGTCTGCTGTAAACATCCATATCTACTCCATTTGCAGTGGTACAAAGATGGTAACAGGCTAAGCTTGTAGCAGCAGCCATACTCCAAGGGCTCTTAGCCTTCCTGAGCAGACAGTGTTAGTGCTGCTGAGGTGAACTCAGTTTAATAGGTTGCTACTTAGAGGCTTAGACTGATTTACAGGTGTTTGCCCTGAAATATGACCATCCGTGTCATCACTGCTAATCCTCTCCCATCTCTGCAATACTCCCACTTCAACAGACAGCTATTTTCAGAGGAGAAAACCCACATATATACCAAAAACCAAGAGTGCTCTCTAATTCTCCTCCCACAGGAAGGGCAGCCTGACTATCACACACCCAACAAGTTGTCTGGAACAGCACAACACGAAGCCCTCAGTTGCCTCTGTCACGGCGGGTGTCAGCCACCTGCATGTGACAGTAATAACAGGGATGTCACAGGCAGAGCACACACAGACCTCGCATCCTCCTCCCTGGCAGCCTGGTAGAAAACCCCCTGTTGGCAATGCAAAGCCTGGGAAGCATAGCTGCCTGCTCCCACTGTGTCCAGGAGAGCAGCGTTTCCATCTTTCTCTGCTGAAGACTTTTCTTCTGCTTGCTCTCTCAGGCTTCTGACCCCTTGTCTGCAATGGACTTTCTTTCCAGCTTGCAGCCCAGTTTTGGATCCTGACACACTGCTGGAGACCCAGGCTGACAGATCCAATGGCCAGGGCACTGTGACACCCTGGACCTGGTGAATCAGTTCCTATTCCCTGCACACACTGCTCCAGCACCGTGGTAATGATTTGCAGACATACATGAGAACAAGGTTCATAGTCTAAGTATACTAAACAAAAATTATCTTGGGATTGAATGTAAATTTACAAAAGTAGATAACCTTTTTCCCTTAAGTAATACATCACACAGGTACTGACTGTGTTGCATTCATCTGTCTCTAAGCTAAGCTTACAGACTGCTGGGTATGGTTTCTAGAAATCTACCACTCACAGCAAAATGCAGCTTCTAGGAGCTCAAGGCCATGCCAACTCTCACATACTGAGCATAAGATCTGGTATCCTCGCTGCTGTTCTTTGCTCCATACACACAGAACCTGCATTTTAGCTATTTTGAAGCACAGTAACCCTCCCTGTCACTTCAGGATTTTTAGATGGCAGATATGTTGGTTTGGCAGGTCATGGTGAGCTTCACAGCTTTGCAGGGCAACTGAGGGACAAAGTGCCTCATCCATGAACCACCATCAGGAGAACTGGTGGTAGAAGGAAAGGCCTGGTGTTGGGGACCCTTGCCCATCATGTGGCCCAACACATCTGCCTAGTGGGAGACACACAAACCTATCACAGAGCCTAAACAATGACTCCGAGACCAGGATCTCAGTCAACTCAGTGTATTCCACAGCTTAGAGAATCAGATGCAGAGGCACGGGTCTCCCACCCTTCACCCTAAAAAGAAGCCCAGAAAGCCCCTAGAAATTTTCACAGACTTTCCAAGCAGCCAAGCAGAAACCAAACATTAAGCCAAACCACACAAGCTAGAGACAGAGACAAAACTAGATGAAAGTGCACAGTGAATGTGAGTTTCACATCCAATCTAGCAGAGAAAATTCATCTCTGATGCTGTAAAAGAGTCACATTGGAGCTCACAGCACTGCAGGAGCAATCCTGCCCAGATTCCCCTCTTCTTTTCAGTGCTACAGAACAGATACCTCCAGCAGAAGCTGATGGTGCCTCTAAGTGCTGACAGTGCAGGGATCCCACTCCCTGCAGCACCGAGTACAAGGGACCCCTCATGTGCTTCATGTTTCATCTCCATCCCTCCTATTCTTGGCCTTAAAAGTATGGCAGTATTTTGAGGTATCTGAGTGTGTGCCAACAGACTGACACTGCCCTCCAGTTTCTGTGGATGCTACCACCCTCCAAAAGTCTTCCTTGGGATAGACAGCTGCACGTGTGTATTTCTACCCTGTTCAGTTTTCCCAATGGCTTCCTCTCTCTATTCTCTTTCCATCCCCTCCCAGCTTTTTCCAACATATCCTGCTTCTGTTGTTCCTCTGCTGTGTGAGCAGTTCTCTGTCTATTCTTCCTTTTTTTTTTTTTGCTTTTTTAGCTCTGCACAGCAGCTACTGGTTAGTTAAGAATCCCAATAATTTAGGTCAAAAAGCCCAGTGAATCTGATGTGGTTTGTTTCACATAAAAAGAGTGAAATTGAAAACCACCTTATTCTTCTCAGCTGAAATGCTGCATCCCTATTAATTCAGGTGTATAAATAACACTCTCTAATACTGCATCAAGGGCTCTGCTGTGTGATTAAACCTGCCTCCCTGACCTGTAATTAGAAACTTTGCCTCTGAAAGGCAGTTTGCAGAGAGAAAAGGAGAAAGAAAGAAAGAGAGAAGGAATCAGCTCTCAGACCCAACAATTTTGTTCTTAATAAATTATTCAGAGTTTTTGAAAGTTGAGATGGATTTCCATCTGCTAGCATTAAAGACC